GATGTTGAAGTGCTTCTCTTGGCATTTGTTCTCTGCATCAAGAAGGGGCCCACACAGATTCCAGATCATCCCACCTGCCCTCATTCCCCTACCCACTCCCCAAGTCCCTGCTCTCAGTGAGTAATTTTGCTTCCTGCTTTACCAAGATCTATGTGTGTCTAAGGTTTTCATATGCTATCTTTATTCACAGCACTGCTGCTGCTACAGCTGTCTCTATTCTTCTCACTCTTCCTAGTACAATGAATACATTTCTTTCCAAAGGGAAACTAACTTCTCCCTGCCTATCTCAGGGGCTGTTCTCTCTTCTCTCATCAGAGTCATTCTCTCCCTCAAAATCTCTAAGTACCTCAGTCCCCAAACTCCCATCCTGCTCTTGACCTCTGAGCATAATTAGCTGGAGTCTCCTCCATGCAGCAGTGCCCCGAAGTATAGAGGTTCTCTCTCCTTGTAACATGTGGTGTCTCACTTTTCTGGATCTTCACCCATTTCTTTGACTATCCTTCTTCAGTTTCCTCTCTTAATTGTGGCCTCACCTCTTCACTTAGTTCTCACTCGCTCATCCGTCCAGTCATTCAAGATTTATAGGTGACCTACTCTCTGCCTGGTCCCCATCCAAGGTACAGGAGGACAACAGTGAACAGGGCAAACAAGGCCGCTTCATAGAGCTTTCCTCTGATGGGAATAGACAGACAAGACACAAGCACATATATTGGAAGTAAAAATAATTTAGGATAGTAAGAGAAAATATGAAGAACAAGAAACAAGGTAATGAGATAGAGAAGCTCCAGGTGGGGAAGGTGGGCAGAAACTGGCTTGGAAAGAGGCCCCAGGGAGTGCCACTCTAAGAAGAAATCATTTGAAGCAGGACCTGAATACAAGAAACGAGCCACAGCACGAAGAGCAGTCTGGGCAGGGGGGTGTTTGCTACAAAAGCTCTGTAATGGGGTGGGTGGGGAACTTGGTAAATTTGAGGTGCATTTTAAGAAATTAAGTGTGGCTATAACATTGTGGACAAGACAGGGAATGGTAGACATGAGTGTGAAGAGAGAGCCAGAGTTCAGGGGAGGCCTCGTCAGGCTGTGGTGAGGAGTCTAGATTTTATTTAAGTGCAGTAAGGTGCCATGAGACAGCTTTGCACAAGAAAGATGCATGATTTCACAGAGTGTTCTGGCTACTGTTTGGAGACTGAAATAGATGGTTTCACCCATCAACAGGAAGGAGAAGACAAACATCAAACTGGAAAAACTAAAAATAAAACATACAGAACCAAAAAACAACAGCAAGGACTGAGGCCAAACTGGCAGAAATAAAAAAGGAATAACAAAGAGTTTAAACAAGTTAAAAACTCTTCAAACAAGGTCAAATCTACTTCAAGGAACTTAAGGTGTTCGCAGAAGTGACTGAGAGCCACCACCCACATGCCAGGGAAATGTCAGAACACCAAAAAGACCAAATGAGTCTATTTCCAATAGAAGAGAGGAAATTTCATTGTTCCTAAAACCTCCTGTAAAATCCTCAAAGTGACTATTAAAATTGGGGTCAGAAAATATTTATAAAAGAACACTTAAGCACAAATAGAAGTGAGAAGATGTTGCGCATGGGTCACCGGACAGCAGTGACCACAGAACACTGTGGATGGCTCGACGATAAACACGCGAGAAAAAACATGCACAGAGACAAACTAGTTTCTGTGGAGAAGTAGGGACGGAATGGCCACCCCCTCTAGTGGGGAGCATGCCGATTTACCGTCCAAACCTGCTTTTATTGGGCTCGTTTTTGCATAATAATTCAGGTAAAGTACAGTACTCATTAAGGGGAAGTAAGGAACAATAGGTAACAAGGAACTCTGAAGGTCTATTTTGAGTGAGGGTCAAAGAACTGTAAGACTTTGAGGAACAAACTAACTTCCTCCTTGGACCTTTCTCATTCAACTGAGAGCATTCTAAACAAAGAAGGTTTCACAGTAATTTACATGTTCTTTCTTAGGTCTGATCACCCAGGGAATCTGCCCTTTTCAGCACAGAGCTGCACCACCCTGTCATTGTTTCAGGCTTAGGTGGAGCATGGGAACTAAGGCAACCAAGAGATAAGGAGATTTTCTCACAGGCAATGAGAACTCAGGCTATGTCAAAGCCGAGGAGCGAGGGTCCATCACCCCCTTTTGCTGCAGCCCCCAAAGTCCTTCTTTTGGGGGGCCTCCCAAAGTGATCGTGCCTGTCTTAGGTTGTTCACCCCGTGGGGAATCTTACCCATCTTTGGCTAACCGACCAAGCTTTTTGGGGTTCAGTCATGAATAAAGCAGCAGAAGCAGCATTCCTGCCAGGAAGATAAGCTTTTGTCTCCTTCCAGTTCCAAGGGCGTTCCCTTAGCCTTAGCCTAGGCGGGGGTTTCAGCTTCTGATACCAGTCAGGGTGGTTCCCAACAAGAAGAAATTATGTAAAGCTAAGCCAGCTGTGGCTGTGGTGGTGGTGGTGGTGGCAGCTGGTTGGCGGTTGAAGTGATAGCTTAGAAAATTATCAGACAGAAAAAGTCTTGGCAACTCTACATATTTGGACAAGCCTTTTAATAAAATCAGAGTCTCAAATATGATTGGAAACTTATCAGTAATCTGTTTCAAACTTATATCCTATAGAAGAGTTTCTATTTCTGCAATATCCCAGTAATTGTTTGGGTAACAACTGCTTGAACATAACAAAAGGTAATTCTCTTCATGTTGGAATCTTTTGAAATACATTGCTAAAAATCTATTTATATGTAAACCACAGATCCTACCTCTTTTCTCTGAATCATTGTAAGGCTAATTCCTGTCACATATGTTGTTTGAAGTTTTCTGAGTGTGCCATGGTACAAACATGGAATTAGGGAGATAACACTGGGTTTTTATACCAAAACCCATACCAAAGAAGTCCAACTCACAGCCCTTTGTCAAGCTGGCATGTGGTCTCTAAGATCATGCCAAAAGGAAGAATTCTTTGAAATCTAGATTTCATAAAAGTATTAACAGGTTATGATAATTGGTTGAAACTAATACATTTTTGTAATCCTCACCTGGGGATATGTTTACTGATTTTTGAGAAAGAGGAAGGGGGGAGGAAAGAGAGACAGACAGACAGACATTGATTGGTTGTTTCCCATACTTGCTCCAACCTGAAATGGAACACACAACCTAGGCGTGTGCCCTGACCAGAAATTAAACCTGCAAACTTTCAGTGTACAGGACAACACTCCAACCAACTGCACCACCCAGCCAGGCCAAACTAATGAATTTTAACAGCAGTAAACACAGAGTTTCATATTAACTTTTCTAAAATTCCCCGGAAAGTACAAAATGACTCTGCAACCCAGATTAAGTAAAAAAATACTTAGGGGTTTTAACTGACCATAAACTCATTATGAGTGAGATATGGCCGTAAACGTATTTAAATAGACATACCTTCTAAAGCAAACATGTCCATGAGTACCTTGGATTTATGGGGTTCACACCACACAGGGAGCAGTCAGCTCCGGCTGTGGACGTCACTTTGAGAATTATGCTGACAAACTAAACACCCTACTGAGAAAATGCTCAAGGTGGTGGTTAAGGGTTGGAAACTACCAGGAAGTCCACCCAAAGAAGCTGATGAAGCTCAGCCTCAAACAAAAAAGTGTGGGGCAGGAAGGACATGGGGAAACATCGCTCTTTGAGGAAAACACACTGAGGACCACTTAACGGAGTTTGTGAGGGAGGAGTGTATACAATTTAACAGAATGTAGGGAAGAACTCCCTTAAACAATGAAAGGGACTGACCGACCAAGCAGAAAGCTCTCATTCCTGAAAAAGGTCAAGCCTGTTCATCAGGAATGCTCTTGGGGAATTCCTAAATTGGAAAGAAGGTTGAATTAAATCAACTTCAACTTCTCATTCAAGTCTAACACACTGTGCTTCAAAGGCTGATCTTCAAAACATCATACAGTTTATGGCCTGGTGGCTCTCCGTCCAAGAAGAACATTCTATCTTGGGGACATTCTGTTGGTCTGTGATATGTGAGGAGGGAGAATTTCCTGTGTGTGGCTCACTTACAGTCAGCTGATACTCTGACGTGCTTTTTTGGGACACCAGCTAAGCTGCCCCTTTGGGAAAGAGCAGGATGGAATAGGGGGTGGGGTGGACTGTTCTTGAATTAATCTTTCACTTCAGTTCCAGGCATTCCTAACCTGTTACTCAATTTGGGTTTAGGTTTCCTTTCCAGAAGAAGTACTGGAGCAGCTGCTGGGACGAGGGAGTCGCTAATATTTGGAAGAAGCCAAACCACAGTCTAGCTACTTTTAAACTGAATGAACGAACAAACGAATAAACAAACAAACAAACAAATAAATATGAATAGAACAAGAGGGTGTTGCTCCCACGCTCAACACCACTCTTGCACTGACCGTGGATCACCTCACTAGGTGAGGAGGTGAACAAGGGAACGCCTGACCCTCAGCCCTGCCTCACTTCTCCTAAGCAGGAATTATCTTGCGGCGTCAATGTACTCGCAACCAATTAATCAAGGCCAGACAAAGGCTAGAACGGGAGAACAGGAGGGGATGGGGCGTGGTCGGGGGGGAGGCATGGAGCCAGGAACCCTGTACATTGGAGATGACGTAATTGCCTGAAAGACATTTGCCCTTCCCCTTCCCAGAGAGGCAGGCAAAAGTCTGTGCGGGAGCAGGAGTGGGGTTGCCTGGAGGGTGTGAGCTGTGGGACCAGGTGCCCGCGTGGGGAGAGATGTGGAAAGAGGTGCGGAGATACGAAAGGGAGGCCTAGAGAGAGAGGGCCCGCAGGGAAATCTCCCGGGCAGGAGGTGTTTGCGCCGCTCCGAGCTCCGCCCCGCGCACAGCGCAGGGCTCGGAGGGGCACGCCTGCTTGGGGGTGGGGAGTGTGTGCACCAGTGGGTGGGCCCAGGGTGGTGGTGGGAGTGGAGAGCTGCCTGCGCATGTCAAGATCAACTGACCGCACACAGTCAGGGGCTCCTGGAGAAGGGCAGCTGGTCACCGGCCACCCAGGGTCGGGGCCCCGGCGAGATCCAGGGTCGAGCCCCGGGGAAGGGTCCACCCTCCTTTCAACCCCACCCCATCCCTGAGATCGCCGGCGAGACAGAAACAGCCACCTTCTTCCTGGTCCTTCCAGGCCTCCCAGGAGAGCCAAGGGCGGGTGTAGGCGGCAGAAGGGAACGAATTTTGTAGCTCCGACGGCCCTGGTGGCTTCGGGTGTGGGGGCACGCCCAGCTAAAGCAGCCCGTCAGAGCGGATGCAGCCGGCGCTCCCGCGTCTTGGTGGATCCTGGTCGGAGCGCAGCTGTTCCAAAGGGAGGTGAGGGGTGGATCAACATGGTCCCCTCCGACAGCCGGACCGCCTAGAGCCAGCCGTGCTGAGTGAGCCTTCACCGAGGTGCGAAGCTGAGAAGCCGCGTCGTAACCGGGATTTGAAATTCCGGGGTGGGCGGGGAAGGTGCTGTCCGCGGTGCTGATCCGGGTGCCCGCGGCGCGCTCGCAGGGAGCGCGCGGGTGCTGATTCTCGACCGCGAATCGAGGCGGCCTGCTAGGGCAGCTTCCAGCGGAAAGCGCAGCCCACTCGACAGCCCCGCGGAGTCTCCCCAGGCACCGGCGCGGGCCCTCCTTCCAGCCGAAAGTCGCCCCTTGGGGCAGTTCGTCCCGAAGGGTTTCCTCGAAAGCATCTGAGAGGGCGCAGTTCTTGACCGAGGGAATCTCTCTGTTTAGCCCAGGAAGCCACCTGCCTAAGAAGATGCCTGCCTTCAACAGATTGTTTCCCCTGGCTTCCTTCGTGCTCGTCTTCTGGGGTGAGTAACGGCGCCCCGCCGTGTGCGATTATCACTGCTACTCTGATAGCAGTAATAATGCTAACACTAATAACACTTACTGATGTCGTTGGTGACAAAAAGGGTCCCGGGTTGGCTTCCTCCTATGATGTCTGTCAGACGTGGAGCTGCATAGTGTTTCCTGAGAGCTGGGATTCGGAGACTGGAAAAACGCCTCCCCAACACCCCTATGTCGCTGCTTTATTCCTGAACCTCCCTGGGTGGTTGATTCTCGAACCCCTCCGCCCGTTTGCTGATTATTCCGAAGTATTTTCCCCCCTTTGCTAAAACAAAATGAGGTCACAAACCATTTTGGTTATGTCTCAGTGAGGAGTGAATTAGGAAACATTATTGAATCTTCAAGTGAATTTCTATATATTAAAAATAACTGGAGACATGGATTTTGAGATTTAAAATGCTTTAGTTATTGATCCATCAGCTTAATCTTAAGGAATGGGAGGAAAACTGGTTTAAGTCCTTTACTGCTTGTGTGAAGTAAATTAGCATCCAAGATTGCATCTTTCTTCAACCCATGCCCCCACAAACATGGGAGCTACGGTGCTTTGGTGTTTGGGGAGCTGGGTTTCTGCCTCCAAAGATGAATACACTCTTGCTTGTCTGCTTCCAGGGACTGAGGTGACTTTCTTCCTCCAAGTAAGGGAGGCTAAGGGAGCCCTGCAGCTGCAGCAATAAGGTTAAGCAGAGTGGTATCAGACATGGGCTTGGAGTGGGGTGCCTGCCTGTGCAGGGGCAGTTAATGAGGCTACATGATAATAGCTGAATATGTAGTTGAGAGAATGCTTTACTGTGTATCAGTGTATCCCTCAGTGGCTGAGTGTGTGTGCTAGTGTGTGTCTGAGCATGTTAGTATGGACATCTGAATGGACTGAAGAGGATATAGTGGGGGGGGTGGATGTCTGTGTGTAGGTAGTTGTGTAATTTTGGGTCTGTCTTGGTGTCTCTATTTAGGTCCTCAGGGGGAAAATAGGTGCTTTTCAGTTGATATATGGCTTGTACGTGATTGGAGTTACCTTCCTCCACACTATGAATTAATAACCAGTAAAATTAGAAGTAATTGTACCCATCAGCCCTATTGAAACTAAGCATGTGGAGTTATGCCCCCATGGTTGGCATGAACCCACTGTGCTTGTTCAGGGTTGGACATGCTCATGGGACCTTCCTCTTTGCCTTAACATCACTTTATCAAACCTCTAAGACTAACTCTGACTGCCAACATTATCTGGATGTTGCATGTGACCAGACATGAAGAGGCAAGCTTCCTGTTGAACAAAATGTTAGATAAGACCATCTGGAAAGAATGAGAGCAGGGGAGAAATGCCAGTCCCAAGAACAGACTCTCCGCATCTATACCCAGTGGAAGAGGCTAGACCTGCAGATGAAGCAGACACTGATCTCAGCTGCCTTAAAGATTTAAGGCTGGGATTTTCTCAGGGGAAGCTAAGACTGGGGACATGGGAGAGGAAGAGGTAGAGCAGGGTTGGGCTGAGATTTTGTAAAGCCTTTCTTCCCAAATTGTAATCTAAATTTTAGGGTCCCTGCCTGAATTCCAGTGGATGAGGAAAACATTCCACGGACCAAAGAGCTTTTGACTAGGACTTGAAAAGTTTAGATTGGCGTCTCAGCTCTGCAACTAGCTTGCTATGTGAAACCTTAGAGAATCTGGTTCCTTATGTGTGAAGTTTGGAAGTTGGTGCTGATGATATCTAACATCCTTTTCAGCTCCACACTGAATGGTACGGAAATACTTACAGAATATTATTAAAATTGGCAAAATGCTCATTCCCCTCTCTACACTCACTCTACCCCCAAAAAACACCTGTAGAAGAAGTGTGCACATTTCACCCATTGTTGCTCATTCTCAGCTTATTTGTAATCTGAACATTGGTTCAATGAACAGGAAAGATGCAGAAGCAAAAGAGGGACAGTCCAAGAAACCTGGTCATTAAATGTAAGAGAAGGGGTATGGCTTCACACATGAAATTTTGTTTCATTTGCATGTAATTTCAGTATTGGAAAGTACTTACCTTAGACAGAGCTTCCTTGCCCAAGCTGATTTTTCATATGATGCAAATATGAATACAAAGAATCTTTTACATTCTTTTACTGTCTGCATATATTGGAAAAAAGTTCCCTTATTACTTTTAATAATTCATATAATAATAATAATAATGAAAGAAACAACCCTGCACTTGCCTGGGGCTTTATAATTTACAAAATACCATTACTTTTCCAGCCATTATTTTTTTTGGTCCCCACATCAACCCTATGGGGTAGTCAGGAGAAATAGTATTATTTCTAATTCAGAGAGGAGAACATGAGCTCAGGAAGGGAAAGTACTTGCTAGAGAAGTCTTGTATCCTGATTTGAGTCTTCCAGTGCTTGTTCTAGCACTTCTCATGAACACATTGCTGCTATGCAAAATTGCCAGGTATTCATCTTCCCTCTCATTTCTTTTTTGAACCACCCTTTTTCCCCTCCCCTATGCCATTGCCTTTTCTAGGACCTCACTCATCCTTCAGCTTCTTGTTCATTCTCTACTCTGCCTCTCCTGGTCTACTATCCCAGATGTCCACTGACAGGGAGTGTTTTCCTTGCATCCCCCAGTAACCCACCTTGTATCCTGCTCTTTCAAGGCTCTGCTAAGTGACTAGCTAATCTGACAGACCAAGTCATTACAGGGTATTAATGTCTGCAAGTAACTTTATTTGTTACTCCTTTTAGGAAGTGTTTATATCCCAATCAAAGCATCTATTATCTTAGTGCAAATGGGAAGCATTCTAGAGCAAGCTCAGGCGGGGCAATATAGCAGTGTCCAGAGAAGAGAAAGATTTGGGGGTGTTAGAGGAGTTTATTCAATATGCATTACTATTTACTTCATAATAGATGGATGCTATTCCTCAGTTAAATAAAATCATCATAGATATGTCAGTCTTCCTTTTCATAAGTTTCCTTATTGTTTAATGCTATGGAAATTGAAAAGGAGACCAAAGGTCAAGTGATTCATCCAGATTATTCCAGGAACTTGTTATATACAGTGAGCAATGTGGGTGGAACACCCGCCATTCCCATACTGCACCATGCACGGTCTTTTCTTGGACACCTAGGGGAGTTCAAAGAAAGAGAAGTGGGGTATCCTGGAGATTCATGGGCTGGAGAACCAGACTCACCTCTTGATGGAAGGGGCAGCCAGTCATGGTGCAAAGGGCAGGCAAACAGGCGAGAGGACTTCGAGGCCACTTTGCAGAATACTGCCCAGGGCTTCATGAGGGGAGTCTCTGGGCTGCTAACCTTCAGAGAGCAGGGATTGGTGGGGCGTGCTCTCTGAAGGAAGCTGGGATAACCGCTCCCTCAGGGGCAACACAGGGCAAAGTGGGGCCACCACACCATGTTCTCCACTCCAGCTGCCCATGTTCTGCCTTCCTCCTTTAACTTTAAATGAACTAACTGTGCTCCTGTTTAGGGCCAACTCATCTTTTTTTTCCACTAGAGCACATCACCTCTCACTTACTCAAGGATGTTAATACACCAGACTATTCCTTTTCAAACCCCAGCAGCTCCACTACCACCTCCATCTAAGCAAGACCATTGAACGTCTCTCAGGCTGATCTCTGTACCAGCCTCTTAACTGTTATTTTTGCTCTTACCCTTCACTTCCTTGCCTCTTTAATTTATTCTCAACATAGCAGTCAGGTCATGCAATCTTCTGTAAATCAGATCAGTCATTCTTCCACTTAGAGCCCTCTAGTCTCCCCCTGTCACTCCAAGCAAGAGCCTAAGTTCTAACCACGGTCTACAAGCCCCGCTGTGATCTGGCCCTGGCTGTGTCTCCTGCCTCATCTCCTCCTAGCCTCACCTTGTTCCCTGAACTTTATTGTGCTCTTCGCTTTCCACAAACACACCCTCACCTAGGCCCCTACGCCCCGCTGTCCTCCGTTTGGCAAACCTTCACACAGGTAGCCACATACCTTGCTCCCTTGTTTCTTGCCCTCAGCACCTGCTTGCTTTGCCCTTCTCAATGAGGCAGTCTCCAATGATCTTATGAACTCTCTCTCTCCTCCATTCTGTTTTGTTTCATCTCACAGCACCTACTACAGTTTGAAGTTGCTTATTCTCTCTCTGTCTCCACTCTAATGTTGGCTCCATGAGAGCAGAGATGGCTGGCTTCTGTTCCCTGCTGTATTCTCAATGCTGGCACACAGTAAGCACTCAATATACCTGCTGAGTAGTGACCAAATTAATGAAGGGTAAAACAACATTAATGAGTGATATTGGTATAAAGCACACTTCTACAAATTATTCTATAGAATTCTCATGAAAAATCTATTAGATAAATATTATTTTCAAACCCAGTCCTTCAGTTGCCAAATACCATCTTCATCTTGCCTCTGTAGTTCTGACCAGACAATCCTTGGGACATTTTTCTATTCTGCATTCCAAGCCATCATAATTGAACTAACTTATCTTCACCACATCTCACTAAATGTGAGTACACACCCTTTACATCTCTATGCACTCCCAAACTTATGAATATACCACACCTCCTTTTTCTTTCTTCCCTTTTTTTAACCAGGCCTGTAATCACGGCTTCAAGTTCATCACAGACCAGTTCTCCTGAGACATGTGCCCATTAAAGGGATGACCCACACGCAGAAGCAAGAGAGCCTCTTACTGACTGTGTTAGACTTTATGTTAGGGCCACTTGTTTATAGACTTTGTGTTTCAAAGTGAAATTTTTTGCCTTCTTAGTCAGTGAAATATGATATTTCATTTTTTATTCAAAGTTAATTGATCAGTCTCATTTTAAGCTCTAAATAAAGCTTTCCTCTGTTTTAAATTTTATTTATTTATTTATTTACTTACTTATAGGGGAAGAGAGGGAGAAAGAGAGGGAGAGAAACATTGATGTTAGAGAGAAACATTGATTTCTCTCTTGCACACACCTCTCACATGTGCTTCTTGCACATACCATGACTGGAGACAAAACCCACAGCCTAGGCTTGTGCCTGACCAGGAATTGAACTTATGATCCTTGGCTTTTCAGGACAGCACCCAACTAAGCCACAGTGGTCAGGGTGCTTTCCTCTGCTTTTAGAAATAACTGTCTGCCAGTAGAGGAGCAAACTGACTATTTACAGTGGACTAGTTTTCAAATGTCAAGGATGTGTGTTGTTTTACAGTTTTAGGGGCTCTGTCTTTATTACGAATTCCTGAGAAGGCAGCATCAGATGGGGCCTCAGAGGTCTTGATACAGGAACCCTTGGTGGTCCCCTCACTTTTGAATCTTCTGTGCAGTGAAGTGCAAACTCTCTTACCAAATAGTTTTTTTGCACTGGTGAACAGCTTCAGCTCCAGAAAATTCTTTTTTTTTTTTTTAATTGAGCTAAACTTAATTTCTTGTAACATTTGGACAGAATCTATTTTATCTTCCACAGAGGAGCCTTCAAATATTTGAAGACAAGTAAGTTCCGTGTCTAGGCTGAGTACCCCATGTCCTCCCACCTGCTCCTCACCAGGCCGGGACCCCAGACCCTCTCTACCCTGCTGCCCTCTGGGCATGACCTCTGAGCATGCCCTCGTTGACCCCCTACTTTTGCAATGGTAGACACCCTAGACTGGTCCTAAAGGTCTGATGTGCTCTGCACAGGGCAGAGAAACGGCTTCCCCTTCTTTCTCACATTTCACCTGCTCATGCCGCCATGTGTGCACTGGCCTTGCTGCCAGCTACAGCCCATCATGGACTCACCCTGGATCCGAAGTCTCATGTACTGGCCTTTTCCTTTGGGCTATACATTTCTAGAGGCAGAAACTGTGAGTCCAGACCTCCACACGGTATGCAAGTGTCCCCAAGTTCTCCAAGTGTTTAAATTTGTCTTTCTCTACTTCTGCTTAAAGCTGTTCTCCAGTCTTGTGGCCAGTCAGCTCACCACTTTCCTCCTAGCTGCCCCATCTGCCACCATGCATAAGAGTTACCCACACTTTTCTTAACACACAGATATCATTACAGTTCTCCAAGGCTTTGAAACACTTGACCCCTCACACTGTGAAGCACATGCAGTGGTCTGCGCAACATGAGTCTTTTCCACCTGAGGTCCCAGCATCCTTCCCTTTCTCCCTCTCCAGACTCAGCAGGAATCACTTCCCCTCCTCCGGGCCAAGCAGCCACTAGTCTGTCACTCACCAGGGCCTGGTTTAGGGACACTTAGGAATATGTGTTCCCTGCTGGATCACAGCTGTCTGCAGGGCCCAACTAGTGTTTGCTTCTCTCTGTATCTCTGCCGGGCACCAGCCAGGCACAGAGCAGATTCAGTCAGTGGTGCTGGCTGGATGACGAGTGCGTGGCTGGTCAGCAGAAGGACGGATGCAGCCCTGTCTCCCACCCAGATCAGATGCCTTCGAGGGCAGGGCTCAGTGTGCGCTGCATCTCATCCCCACTGCTTCCTGGGAGATATCACCCCTGCCTCCTGATCCCCCTCATTGCCTGTTGTGAGCATGCACACTCTGGGAGCACAGGGACAGGTACACACCCCTGTACGTGGTAATTTCAAGCTTATCTCACGATCCTTCCTCCTCTGTCCCTTCTCTCCCTCTTGTTCTCCATCGCCCCCCTACCCACATCCCTTCCCTGCTGCCCGGCCTCTCTGCAGCCAGTGTGTGCTTCCCCGTGTGTGTGGAGGTGCCCTCGGAGACTGAGGCCGTCCAGGGCAACCCCATGAAGCTGCGCTGCATCTCCTGCATGAAGCGGGAGGAAGTGGAGGCCACCACGGTGGTGGAGTGGTTCTACAGGCCCGAGGGCGGCAAAGACTTCCTGGTATGTCTCATTGTGACTCTGGTCTCTGTGCTGTGGGCGCAGCTCCCAAGAGGCTAGAAACTGAGGATCCAACAAACACCGGTCCTTCCTCCTCAAGGCTTGGGCAGCTCCTCGGAGGAGAGCTGGCAGCCGGCAGCCAGCAGCCTTTGCTCACCCCAGCTTCTGAGAAAGGATGCTCGGCCTGCTGCTGGCAGTCCTGGTCACAGTCCCGGGCACACCAGGAGAGGAAGAAAGAGACAAATCATACTCAAAGCCTACTGTGTGCTACTCACTTGACTAGGCACTTTGCAGGGTTTTCATTTAATCTTCTACAGTGTCGTATTGGATGGATTAAACTAGTAGAAAAATTTAATGTTGTGGCCTGATCCAGACCGCCCATGAACCCTCGGAGGGGACCAGCTCCAAGTGTCAAGTCCGAGGCCAGGGCTTTCAGATGTCCTCATGACTGATGAGCCTGCCTCTGCCTCTCTGGTCCTTGTCCTCTCACTCGCTACCCCCATGGCGCTGAGCATCATTGTATAAGAGAGCACAGGTTAGCTCACTGAACTCCCTGCCCCAGTAAAATGAGAACTACAGGGATGGCTAAGGCTGGTCCTCAGCTGGTACATGCAGTGCAGCCACATCGGTGGGTAAAATGTTTACATAGTTCTGTGGTGGGTGCTGCCTGCACCAAAACACCCAGGCACCCCCCCTTCCCATTGGGAACCCCTAAACCTACTTATCACCTGGAAATGAAAGAAGCAGTGCCTGACAGAGCCGGGAGCCTCCCAGACTCTGCTCCTGTGCTGGCCAAAGTCAGTTCTAACTGATTGGGGCCAGTGCCAAAATAGTTGTGCTAAACGTGGACTGCCACCCTGGGGACAACCATTATTCACACTTCTACTGTCTGTGGAGCCAGGCTGCCTGGGTGCATAACTGTTAGCTTTGGATGTCCTTGGACAGATTGGTTAACCTCTTTGTGACTCCGTTTACTCATCTCTAAAACAGGGCTATAACCCACAGCTACATGATAGAGTTGTTACCAGGAATCATGAGCTTTAATTTTTAGTGCATTTGGGATAGTTCTAGAATATAGGAAGCACTATATAAGTGTCTGCTAAAGAAAAATATATGTATCAATGAGGCAACTGGGGCTCAAAAAAGTTAAGGCAGGAAGAGAGCTTCTGGTTGAACCGGGACGTCGGACAGCTGACACAAGCCCTTTGTTACTGCACGACCCCATGTTCTTGGAGGCAAGCTCCCTCCACGAGACTTTTCAAGGAAACAGCATCAAGTGAAGCTGGGTTTCACATGCTCTTTTGCCAAGCTTTCCTCAAGTGCAAGTCAGAGCTGCCACTAGGCTGTATGTGCCACCTGAGGTAGGTTTGCTCCAATCAGGCGCCAAAAGTAGAACAAGCAGACCTCTCAGTGCTTGGCTCAGGGTTGGCTGTGACTGAGGCCAGTGCCCAGGTTTTGAGAACCTGGATGTCTTGGCCAGATGCAAAGGCGCCCCTGGGACTCAGGCCTGACCATGGGCCAGCTGCCTATTCTGCTTCCAGGCCTGCCCAAGCTGAGGAGAGTCTCCCAAGGAGGAAGGGAAACATTTAAAATGGTGCTGCAAACACAGAGTAATGCTAATAGAAATTTTGTGATGATGGTGATGTTCCATATTCCTGCTGTCCAGTATCCCCTAGCTGCATGTGGCTATTAAGCACTTAAAATGTGGATAGTGCAACTGAGAAACCAAATTTTAAATTTTATTAACTTTCTAGTAATTTAAAAGTTAATATAAGTAGCCACATGTGGCAGGTAGACACTAGAATGGATAGCACAGCTATACAGAGAAAAGGTGTGTCGGAAGGTGAAAGTGTTTGAGAAAAGAATTTTAGAGACCACATTGCACTTACAATAAGCCCAAAGCAAAAACCCTGATGTGGGCCTCAGCCGGTAGCTCTCTGCTTCCCTGGGATACTCCTCTGTGGCCTGGCCCAGACTGGCCACACCCTCTCACAGGGGTCTAGCTCAGAGTGTCAAGCTTGAGGCCAGGGCTTTCAGATGTCTTCATGACTAATGAGCCTGCCTCTCTCGGTCTCGACATCTTGTCCTCTTGCTGGCTGACCTCATGACACAACTCTCTTTCTTGTTCTTTCTATCCCCTCCCAGTCTTTTGTCTCTCTTAGTCCACCACCCCCACTCCCCACTCTGGTCTCCTGTATGCTTCTCTCACCTCCTGTGCTTTCTCTCCTTGCACAGGACCTTATGTCCTGATACCTGTTTGTCTTTGCCCATCTTCCCAGTCTTTGCTCTCACCCTCCTCCCTCTAAGACTTCTCATCCTACCCCCACATTCTGGAGCTCCTTGTGACATCGTCCCCTTTCCTCCTGTGCTGCACAGGCGAGCTTCTCTCCTCTGGTCTTGCCCTAGCCCTGCTCTCTTGCCCCATCTTCCCTCAGGGCCTTACCCTCTGCTTCTCTCCCTGCAGATTTACGAGTATCGGAATGGCCACCAGGAGGTGGAGAGCCCCTTCCTAGGGCGCCTGCAGTGGAATGGGAGCAAGGACTTGCAGGATGTGTCCATCACTGTGCTCAATGTCACCCTGAATGACTCGGGTCTCTACACCTGCAACGTGTCCCGGGAGTTTGAGTTTGAGGGTCATCGCCCCTTTGTGAAGACCACACGGCTAATCCCCCTCCGAGTCACCGAGGAGGGTGAGGCTGGGGCATGGGGTCTCCAGGGTTCCTTGCTCCTGGGGGAGGATGAGCAGAGGGTTTCCACACAGACAAGACCCTTATAGAGTACAACACCTGTGTATTTTGGAGTGGTGATTTTTAAAAATGTCACCATTGACTTGTCTCCCTTTAGTGGCCAGGATGCAGACTGCCCAACCAGCCTTTCCTCAAGCAGAAGGGCTTGGTGATGGAGCAGATGACAAATGACCTCGTCCTAGTCCCCTGACTCTCCTCCCTAGAGACAGAGGACAGCCTCCTCAAAGCCTGAAGCTGCCAAATCAGCTCCGGCATCTTCTCTGGCCTGACTCAGTGGCCTCAGAGAAACACGCCCTCCCACGCCTAAGCCGTGTATACGTACCTCCAAACCAGCATTGCTCCGACTTTAGTGAGCCTCAACATCCCCGCAGGACTTCTACAACCCAGCCTTTCTGACTCTGCAGGTGGAGCCTGAGTGTGTCTAACAGGGTGCTGGGGGTGCTTCCACGGCAGGGGCCACACCGCGAGAACCCCTGCTCTAGCCAGAGGCTGACGGTTTTTGTTGGCAGTCTCTCTGCACAGCGATTGCACGGGCAGCCCCGTTCCCATTGTGGCATCTCTCATACATAACCTCATTCTCTGCTGGGAGAAGGAGAAACATCGATAGCTCTCTAGTTTGTAATTTAAAATCTTCAGCTTCCCCCCCCAGCAAGTTCCTGGTTATGGTGGGAAGCCCTTTCGTCAACCTGACTCCCAACGGCTCTGTTGTGACTCCCATTCAGAAATGGGGCAGGGAGTGCTTAGAAGCCCCCATGCACTGTTTTTGCTCTGCTCTCCACAGGGCTCCGAGCCCCTTGCAAATGTGCCTTTCACATGTCAGAGTAGCGATAAGTGCATCATGCGTTAGCTGATTCCCTTTCACTTAGCCTCTCTCATTCTATTTCCAGCACATTCTCAGCATTACTGCAACCCCAAGATGCAGTGTGGTGAACAGGCAAAAGGTGTGGGATGTGAAAGAAAGAAGAGGTCAAATTAATGATAGGCCTTTTCCTAGGAAGGGGTCCCAAGAACTCCAGCTCCTGGGCCACACATTTAGTTTTTGTCATGTTTTGTGATAAAATTCATGCAGCAAACTTGGATGCAAACGACAGAAGTCATGATTTAGGCGAGATGACTAAAACACAAAGTAGGTGGATTCGGAAAGTGCAGAAGGACTCTCAGGCCACTTGTATCTAGGCGTGAGGAGCCACTCCATCCCCTGCCCCGCCCCCATCTCCTCTTGGGTAAAATGAAGAGGCTGGACTGCAAGCTAAGGCATTTTTCTGTTCACAAGTTCCATTATCCTCTTCTGTTTACACACCAGTCATCCCCAGGGAAGGGCGCCTGGTGCCCTCTATTGTTACCACCAGGAACTGTTGGCTGATGACTGCCAGAAACTCAGAAGGGGCCAGTCTCCACCTCCTGCTCTCTCAGGATTTTGCCTCCAGGGACCCTTGTGAAGCCGATGGAAAGAATGGCCAAGCTGAGCCAGTGCACGCCAGGCACCAGAGCAAGGTTCGAGTAAAAATAGAAGGAAAACAAGTTTACTGTCAGCCACAGTGCCTCCTGGGCTGTTTGGGCTGGGAGGAAGCATGGCTCCCCACTGAATCCAGGAGTTGTGGGGCTTTCTCTCTGCACCACTCTTAGAGGTTGGGGTGTGTCTGGCAAAGGCAAGTTGAAATGACTCCTTAGCTGAGTGCAGGGTGCCAAGCCGGTGCAGCTGGGAGAACAGAGCACTGGAAGAAGGGCCTTGCTGAAGGACAGGAAGTGAATTGGCACCAGATGCAATCCAGGTCTCTCACCTATCAGGCTAGCTCTGTCTCCACTGCATCTTTTCCTGCCATTGACAGCCTAGCTCCTGCCACTTGCGTTTGCTTCCTTCTTTTTCCTCTGTGACCTCCAGGCAGTCCTCCGACCCCATGCTGACCCTCACTGCTCTCTTCAATCGCTCAGAGCTCGGCACCCCACTGTGGGCTCCGCCCCCTCTCCTCGTGCCTGTGCCCTGACTGTCTTCCTGGTGCTCTCTGTTCAAGCTGGCCTCATCCTGCTCTAGGTTCCCACCTCTTAACTGTAAGACTGAAATCTGAGGCCCCTGCATCTAGAGGTGACTGAACATACTGAGGACAGCTTCCTGTGGTACTATTTCTGGGCTCCCACATTTACAAAGGGCAAATGTGCTTCCAGCTGAGCACACCACCACCTGGCCACTGCAGGCCTGTGAGAAGACATTGGTGTCTGCTGCATTCTCCTGAGCCTCCTGGGCCTCAGGCCGTGTCTATGGCCTCTGGCTCCAGTTAGGAAACCTGGAGGGCCCTGGAGCTAAAGGTCATGACTGGCTGGCTGCCTGTGCTTTTAAAAAGCAGAGTGTTGCCGGTGACCTGGGCTGTATGAGCAAAAGGCCAGGAGTCTAATTGGCTGGTGGGAGCTGGCAGGAGTAGGCATGGCTGCAGCCTTACTTGCCACGAGGAAGGAGTATGTGTCAGGACATTTGCCATGCATCATGTTTTAATTCTCATTTTCATTGGTCATGAAACAAAAAAGCAATATTTATATTTATTCAACAAACACTTATGGAATATTTTGAATATTCTAGGATTAGACAATATGTCGATAGTTCAGAAATGAGATGTCCTCAGTAAGCATGCAGTCTCTAGAGAAGAGAGATCAACACATCACAATATAGCCCAAGAAGTGTTACAGTGGATGGATGCACGAGGTACCTGAGGACGGATGTGAACAACTGCATGAGGCACTGAGGAAGGTTTCCCAATAGCGGGAGCTTCCATGGAGTCTAACAGAGTGATCAGGAGACCAAAAAACAGGAGGGAATGTTGGGACGGAGGTAGCACTGCGATGTGAAATACAGTCTGGGAAGAGGGAAGAGGAAGAAGAAATGTCCACAGATTACAAGAGACCACAATGTGTACATGAAGAGAAGTTTTGCTGGGCAACTGAATGGAAATTAGACAAGAAAGGCTGGATTGTGTGTGGCCTTGCAAGCTGTGTTAATAGAAACTGGGCTTTGTTCCGAGGGTGGGATGGAACACTGAAGGGAACCGTAGGCTCAGATCTGTGCTTCACAGGCAGAACTTTGAGGGCGGTCTGGTTCCCACATGGAACCCTCCAGTACTCACTTCTGTTTGGGTTTATGAGCTGGGGAAGCCCACATTTCTGATCCAGACTTGTAGAGAGCATGTCCACGTCATGGGGTGGGCTGACTGCATGGGCCCTGGACACGTGTCCATCATTCTATTCCTAGAGACACCACCTCCTCCACCCTGAGCTCAGACGATAGACCAGGTTGAACTGAGTGAGACATATTCCTTACATCTGTGTAGACATTTAAATTTCACAAATTAGTCTTCAATCCATTAGGTAATGTAATAGTGTAAATTATTATTGTCACCTTGTAAATTAGGAAACTGAGTCTCAAATAAAGGATATGATTATTCACAGACCTCTGTGAATAGTAAGCAGCAAGACTGGGACCCCGCTCTAGATATCTCCCCTGATTCTAGGACTCCGTCCACTGCTTTACAACTTCTTCTGCACCCCCATCGCTCTCGCTCACCCCTCCCTTCAAACTCCTGATGAAAGTCAATAGGAAAGCCAGCAGATAGGATAGTCAGAGGGCATGAAATTCCTTTGACATCCTCTTGAGGTCCTTTAGACCCAGTGTGCATTGAAGCCACACTCCAAAGAGGCTCCACATAACTCTGACCTCAGTGACAGCCCTGGGTGTACTGGACATGCACATTCTGAGCCTCCTCCCCACTCTTGCAGCTGGAGAGGACTTCACCTCTGTCGTCTCGGAAATCATGATGTACATCCTGCTGGTCTTCCTCACCTTGTGGCTGCTCATTGAGATGGTATACTGTTACCGGAAGGTCTCAAAGGCTGAAGAGGCAGCTCAAGAGAATGCGTAAGTCCAAAGGTGCCAAGATGATAACAATGGGGAGCGCCTTTCCCAGGCTTGTTCTCACAGGCAAAATGCTAGCTAAGCAATTTACATGGTCATCTACTTTCCTTGCAACAATCTTTGAGGTATCAGCATCAATATATTCATTTTACAGGTGAGAAAACCAAGCTTGGGAGGGTTTGCCCAAGGCCAGGGAAAGAGGGAGAGCGAGGTTTGAATTCAGGCCTGCTAGGTCTTGGCCTGAACCTTTAACCACTAATGTAGAGCTTATCAGCTGCCACCGATCCCCATAAAATGAGCACTGTTATGACTGTTAACACAGATGCTGGAGCAGACTTCTCGAGGGTAAGGGGCTCACAGAGGCTGCACAGGTGATGAGAGGGATTTGAGCCTTAGCCTCTCCATTCCTGACGACCACACTCTCAGGTCGCCTGCGCTGCTCGGAACAACAGGTTCTTCCTCCAGACCTTGGCAGCTCCCAGGCATGCAGAGGAGGGGTCTCATTTCCCAGTGTGCAGACGACACCTTGCTGCTTCTGTCGAGGCCCTCATCACTGAGGAGTGAGCTTGTGTGGGCAGTAATGGTGTCTGAGGGGTTAGGAGACCATGCTGGCCTGATAATTGGGGAAGAGGAAAGACAGAAAAGAACCCTCACAGATTTACAAGGCTAGCAACTTTGCTGAGGTAATAACCTAAAACCCCACAGGCTATTATCATCTAGAAATGCTGGAAAAAATAAAGCATAATTGCATGATATCTGTGATCTTAATGAAGAAAAAATGACAGCTGACCAGATATGGGGATAGAAAGCATTGCTCTGCTGGGGGAGGCTGTTGCCCCTGGTGAGAGGGGGGCTTGGATTTTAGTGCTTGGACAGGAAGTGCCCACATGTGGACAGGGAGTCCCCAGGCTTGGACAGAAAGTGCCTACAGCCAGGCCTACACAGGAAACAGAGCTCGGACTGGGGCCCTCAGGAGATCTGGCATCCTCAGAGAGTGAGAGCTCACACCAAGGATAGATAAGAAAATAATCAGTCTACCAACCCAGGGAAAAACCAAAGAAACTCATGTATCTTGGCCTAAGTCCAAGGAGAAAAAAATAAAAGATTCTTGAGAATTAGTAACCACAAGCCTGCTCTCACAATGTTTGGGGTTTAAATTCATACGACCCAGATGATCCAGCAACCTCACAGCGGAGAACTTCAATCACTTTAAAAAAAGAGTCCCCAGACAGTGATAGCCATGTAGAAGCAAGTGAAGAACCGTTCTGCGGAGCCCATCCTGAGCTGAGGTTGAACAGGACTCCCCAGGCAAAGCAATGCTGAGTCTGATTTCACAGTCTGATTCAAATTAAAAGACAGAGCAGTAAACCATGCAACATGAGCATGAGGCAGGATTAAACCCAAGAAACTTCAGGCACAAGAAGAACCTAATAGAATATAGAAAGTAAGTTTGTTTAAAAGAGCTGAAACAATAAAAGAAGGAACCAAAAGCATAAGAATAAATTGCTAAGAAAACAGAACAGGCAGATTTGAATAGAAATTAAAAAACATTGGAAATGGAAAGTACAGGCGGGAGGTACAAGAAGGCCCTGTAGAGCTGTACTGAACCGGCCCCTCCCTAGGCAGCAGTTACTCCTGGGAGACAACTGAGGGCTGAATTGCTGCTTCTGAACAACAAACAAAAGAAAGAGACCCAGCTGGGAAGACTGGGAACAGGAGGGAGCCCCGTGGGGACTTTCTGGGCCAAAGGAGCAGGGAGTGAGCGCTATTGTCTACGTACCAATCCACTTCCTTTGGGCAGGTAGGAGTTCTGTGACCCACCTGCAAGACCCCCTACATTTCTGGGAGCAAGCGGAAACAACAGGGCTTCCCAACAAGCACCTGGCCTCCCTTTGGGGAGCCACTCCAGCCATGTAAGCCAGTGATTCAGGCAGTGGAAGCCCAGCCTGACTCCAGTGGGCTTCCCAAACCCACTGGGCACATACAAAGCCACTCTCTGTTCAACAAGCAAGGGAGAGCTTGTATAAAAAAGGCAGGGAGCCACAGGAGCTTGGGCACTGCAGGAGTGCTCCAGGGCCAGGTGCCCCTGAGTGCCATGGTTTACTCCCCCCACCTCTGTAGAGGGCTTACAGGGCTCTATCCAAGTGGTCTGGCCTACCTGCAAGGTCACTGCAGTGCATACTGGCACCCATCACTGAAGCCCATTTGGGCTCTTGAGCAAAGGGAGCAACTAGAATCAACAAGACAACACTACGTGCTCCCAGCCTCCCCACCTGGACACTTTAAGCACCCAGTTGGCCCCAACCAGCCTGGCAGAATCTCCAACCTCCTGGCACACAGCCTACACAGGGGCTGCTTTTCCAAGGCTTGGAGAGATAGCTGTTTTGTCTAATTCATATAAACAAATAGAAAGTCAAACAAAATGATAAGACAGAAGAATATTTCTCAAATGAAGGAACAAGAAAAATTTCCAGAAAGAAACCCTAAGAAAATCGGGGATAAGTAATTTGCCTGATAAAGAATTATAAGAAACTTGAGCATGGACTAGAAGAATTTAGGGAGGACTTCAAGAAAGAGTTAGAAAGTACAATAAAGAACTGAGAAGAGCTGAATGAGAGAAGATATTCACCAGTGACACATCCAATACGGGGTTAACATCCAACACACAGGGTGAGGCAGACATAGGTTTAAAGTTGTTTGAGTGGAAAATAATACAATAATTAATAAATAATAAGAGTAAACTGTTTTTTGCATACTTACAACTGTAAACCTATTTTTGCCCCACCCTGTGTATAAAGAACTCACACAACTTAACACCAAAAAAAAGAAACTATTCAATTTGAAAATGAGCAAAGGATGTGGACAGATATTTCTCCGAAGAGGACATACAGACAGCCCATAGACATATATGACAAGATGCTCAACATCACTAATTGTCAGAGAGATGCAAATTAAAACCACAGTGAGATATCACCTCTCACCTGTCAGAATAGCTATCATACATATATCAAGAAACAACAAGTGCTGGTGAGGATGTGGAGAAAAGGGAACCCTCGTGCACTGTTGGGATTGTAAATCATTGCAGCCACAATGGAGGGTCTTCAAAAAATTAAAAATTATAGGTGCCATTCAAACCATCAATTCCACTTCTGGGTATTTATAAAAAATAACCCCCACCCCCCAAACCCATTGACTCAAAGATATATGCACCCTATGTTCATTGTAGCATTACCAGTAATAGCCAAGATATGGAAGCAGCCTGGATGACCATCAACAGATGAATGGGTAAAGAAATTATATCATATATAATGGAATATTATTCAGCAATAAAAACAATTAAATCTTGCCATTTGTGACAATATGGATGGACCTAGAGAGTATTACATTAAGTGAAATAATTCAGACTGATTAAGTCAAATACCATATGATGTCACTTATGACATATGTGGAATATAAAAAACAAATGAATAAACAAAACAAAACAGAAAAGACCTATACCTATAGAAGATATACATAGATATGTATTTTTGCCAAAGGGAATGGTGGTGGGGGAATGGGAATAAAAATAAATGAAATTAAAATAAATAGCGACAACATTAAGTGCTAGCAAAAAGGAGAATACGAATAAGAAGAGAAGATCTTGTTGGTGTGGCTCAGTGGATTGAGCGCCAACCTGCGAACCAAAGGGTCGTAGGTTCAATTCCCAGTCAGGGCACGTGCCTGGGTTTTAGGCCAGATCCCCAGTCGGGGGCGCCCAAGAGGCAACCACACATTGATGCTTCTCTCTCTCTCTTACTCTCTCCCTTTCTCTAAAAATAAATAAATAAAATCTTTTTTAAAAAAGTAAAAGAAACTGGAGTTCAGTGAGGGCAAGTGACATTGCCAAGGTCACCATGAAGTGGGCACCGTCCATCTCCCGGTCAGGTTCTCCAGGCTTCACATGGCCCCTCCAGGGGATTTAAAGCAGCAGCTTTTCCTGGATAGTGATTGACGGTGGCGACTCATCAACACGGGAAAGTAGTCAGACCTGGCCTTTCTCCAGCTTCCTCCTAAACCACACCCAGCCTAGGGGCTTTTCTGCCCCACCTGCTCTGATCTACCAAGTTGTCTGGAATCCTCAGCCTTAAAAAAAAAAATTATTTATTTGCAACTGAAGTCCCTAGGGCCTGAGAGGCCAGTGTCTGTCTCTCCACAGTGACAGGGCATAGAGGGTGGTCGGTAAGTGCTTGGTGTTGTTGGGAAGCGGTAAGAAAAGATGGAGCAGCCTGGAGAGCAGTGAAGGCTTGGGCCTCCAGGTCTGGCAGGAAGTACCAAAAAGTGTATTTATATGTACTCATATATACAGTCAATAAAATTTAAGACTCAATGGATTGGCTCACCAGATAGATAACCAGAAGATAAATGTAAAGGTGTTACACAGAATGAAGACTAGAGCTATAAAAAGATGAATTATCACAAAGAAACCTGAAGAAAAAAGTGAGAAAAATCCATTAAAACAGAACAGGGAAAAAGGAGAAGCACTACTCAGACATGTGGCTAAGGCGAGGCAGGACTCTTCAGACTTAGGAAGCACAGCACGTCCTGAGCGGGGTAAACACACATGAATCTAGACCTAAATGGCAGGTATCTTTAAACTGATAGATGGCAGCTACCAAGCCAACCTACAGCAATTATCGTTTGTGGGTTACAGCTTCAGAAGAATTGCCTATAATATCAAAGACATGTCAAGGGCACTCTCCCTGTTTCTCTTCAATATTATATTGGAGATCCTAGGCCATGGGCTAAAAGAAAAAAGTAGCAATTGGAAGGAAACAAACTAAATTATCATTATTCATACCCACTATGATTCCCTGCATAAAAAAATCTAAGGGAATATAGAGTCAGCAAACTATTGGAACTAGCAAGAATATTCCACAAGTTTGTTGATATAAATAAAAATATAAAAATCACCCATATTCCAGTCAGAAAAATTTAGAAAAGCATTGCCATATTTAAAGCATTAAAATCTGTTCAATTATTAATGCATTCCTCTTTTTTAAAAAAAATATTTATTTTTTAGAGAAAGGGGAAGGGAATGAGAAAGAGAGGGAGAGAAACTTCAATATGTGGTTGCCCCTTGCGTGCCCCCAAATGGGGACCCAGCCTGCAACACAGGCATGTGCCCTGACTGGGAATCGAACCGTGAACTCTTTGGTTCTCAGACCTGTGCTCAATCCACTAAGCCACACCAGCCAGGTGTTTGATTATAATAGCAACAAATACTCTCCAGAACCTGGGGATAAATTTGATAAAAATGTACCAAGACTTTTAAGGACAAAATTTTACTGAAGGACTTAAAAGCCTTAAATGGAGAATAAAACATTACTGTTATGAACAGCAGTTCTCTCCAAAATTAATCTGAAAATTAAATTAAATTCCAATTAAAATATTTATTGAATGGTTCAAGGAACTAGAAAGCTAAAAATAAAAGTCACATGGAAGGCCAAAGGGCCAAAGTTAGTCCAAACCAAGGGGCAGCCAGGTAGTAAATATTTTAGGCTACACAGAGTCTCTTGCATATTATCTTTGATTTTGCTCCTTTGCTTGCAACCTTTTAAACAAGTAACAACCATTCTTAGCCCATGGGCCATAGTTTGCTGATTTCAAAGAAAGAACAGTAAGTTTGGAGGAAGTGGCTGGTAGGGCTTTTTCCTATCGGATGTGAAGATTCCTTATAACACCATCAGAGTAAGGAGTCTGTGATACATATGCAGGCATATGACACAGGCAAACAGAATAAGACAGAGAGCCCTCAAATACGTTAATACATATATAAACACTAGTGTGTGGCAGACATGGCAGTGCAGTCACTGAAGGAAGGATGAACTGTTTGATCAGTGGTATGGGGGACAAGTCCCTGCCCATGTAGAAAAGAAATTACATCCTCTCTCTCTCACACCACCCAGAATACATTGTGAGTGGACTTAAAACAAAGTAAAATGCACAACTTAAAAGTTCTATTAAGGGAATATAAGAGAATATTTTTATCCCCTTGGAATCAAGAGGACTTCTTCAAACACAAAGCAAAAGAGGAAAAATGGTCATTGTGATTATACTATACACAAGGGTGGGCAAAAGTGGGTAAATAATACAATGATTAATAAGTAATAATGCAAGAATTGTGTTTTACATACTCACAACTATGAGCCTGCTTATGCCAACCCCTGTATGTCAAAATTAATTTTTCACTATAAGATCCCTAAGCAAAGTTTAGAGATAAATAGACTGGAAGAAGATATTTTCAAGATATGAAATCAAGGAGAAAAAGGCTATCTAAGAAGAAAAAATAGTAAAGCAAATGAAAAAATTATAGAAGTAGAAACCAAAATAGCCTGTAAACTTATAAAAGGATGTTCAACTTCACCAGTAATCAAGGAAGTGAACATTAAGGCAACTATAAAATATAATTTCACCTATCAGGTAGGTCAACATTTTAATGTAGCAATACTACCTCCTGAGAACAATGTGGATAAATGAGCAGTCTGCTGGTGGAAGTAAAACACAAAGAAACACACAAACAAAAAACTCCTATTATTCTAGTCCCCTGAAAGGGCCATTCTAGTTTCCTGTTGGGAAACCCAGCCGGCAGGAAATGCAGAGCTGTCTCACAGACATCCTTGCTCCTGTGCCCTTGCTTCTTCCCTTTCCTTGCGCCCCCACCTCTGGGTACAAAGGTACTGATTCTCTTCCCCATTTGTCCTCCCGCAGGTCTGACTACCTTGCCATCCCATCAGAGAACAAAGAGAACTCTGTGGTGCCAGTAGAGGAATAGAAGGGGTGTGACTCGAGGTGATGTACAGGAGAGGGGAGGGGAAGATGGATAAGGATGGCAGGTTGTGCAAGTGACAAGTGACCCTTTATCAAGTGACTTTAAATTTAACCCCTTAGATTAATTTCTACCCTACCCAAATTCCCACCCTCAGGACCATTCTTTAAGTTGATGCCAAATTGCAAGCTCTGTGTGATGTCAAGCCTTCAGAAGGTGAATTGCTTTGGCCTGAGTGTTGGGGCAACTTGAACTCCTTACCTGTAGTAACAAAGGCATAGTAATCCCTCCCGCCCTTTGTAAGGATCATGGATTTGGTCAGAGTCTTTGGCTCAGCTGGGCTGGACTGGAAGTTCTCAGTGAGTTGTTTTATCATTGACAGGTGACTGGAGCCCTGAGGGACCGGACACCCCAGGTGTGGTGATGTCCACAGCCTCAGGAGGCGCAGCAGAGGCCACATTGCTTCCCTTCGTGCATTCACCCTTTAGTTTACACATCACACCTCCACTCACCACTGACCCCCTAACTGCATCTGACCTCGACACACCTGAGGACTTTGCCAGAATGGAGGAACCAACATTTCTACACAGACTCAACCTCTCCTCATCCTAGCTTTTGAGCAAGCAGCATCCATGTCCCCTGGACTTCTCCTCTGTGCTCCAAATGACTTTGTACAAGTGCTGGAGGTGACATGCGCCTCTGTCCGTTGCTGTCTGGAACTGGCTCATTCTCTGCTATTGCAAGTGAATGGATCTTTTTAGTGGAAGAAAGCAGGAGTGATTAGGTTAAACCAAAAGAGTGTCATGAGGTAGAATGTTTTGACATCAGTTTTTCCAAGGCCTTGAAAACCTTACTAGAGTGTCAGAGCAAAACATGCTTTTCTAGGTTCTCTACTGATAGAAAGTTCGTTCAGCATGGACTAAAATGTTCTCTGGAGCTTGGTACTCCAGGGCTAGAACTCATTAGGTTTCTAAGGCCTGGGTAAGTTTCTGTCCTTCAGGAAGCCAAGGACAAGAGACTCAGGAGGGATTCAGTAATTTAAGTGGCTATTGAAATTCACACAACACATTCACGATCCTATTGGTATGTATCTTCCCCTACCCAAAGTGAACACAGCACTTGAGATGGCTGGGAAGCATTGTTTCCCTGAGGGCACTGGAGCTGAAATTCCAAAGTTTTTCCTTGCAGAATCTTGTGGGTATTATTACTCAAGGCACAGGAGTCAGCTGAAGCTCAGAGATCAACTGGACTTCAGAGGATAAACTAGAGCAGATACAAGCCTTAGATGCTTCCCAGGTTAAACTTCCTAAAATGGGTAATTTTGGTTTTGAAGACTTTGAAATTAAGATTGGCTATGGCCATGCCTCTTCCACAAGTATACATTGAGTGGATTGCCTGGCTGAGGTTAACTCTGATTCTGGTAGCTAGAAGTTGGCTGAAAAGGCAGAGAGAAAGACATGAAGTAGACTTGAAGAACTTCCTCAGTGAAAGGATTTGTGAGGCTGGAACATCCTGCAGAAGAAAGCATCTTGGAATGATATTTATGAAACCGGGATGATAAACAAATGAATGAAGTAATAGGGGAGGGATGGGCTAGGTAGCTTCATAATAGTTTACCTGTGAACCCATAATGTCCAGGGTTTGTTTGTTTGTTTGTTTGTTTTTACTAGATTTTGGGAGGGCAGATGAACACTAGATATTAGTCAAAATCTCATGTTTCATTTTGATTGACTGATTTGGTTAAGCAATGACATCCTTCAGCACTTAGTGATGAGATGGAGAAGGGTGCTTTAAGAAATATAAGATGAAAGGGACTGGGATTTGATGAAGGAGAGGTCCCTTAGATCTGGAGGAAATTATGGGGGAACATCATATTCCACTGGCTTTGGGCTTGATCTGACAAACTCATTTTTTCATCTCTTCCATCCCTGGGGAAGTACTTAAATATGTCCTTGTTCACATCTTGAAGAAAATACTCTCAATAAATTCAAGGCCCCTCTCCTTGGTAATTTCCCAAAGAATCTCTCAGGGGACAGCAGATAGAGGTTTCTGATTCTACAGTTGGGAAGATAGGGCTGACTAACTGAGGTCTTCCTGGCCACGGGGCAGCTTGACCACAGAGCTGGTGGCAGAAGCAAGCTCCTTACTTACAACACCATTTTCCTCTTGGTTCCAGTGGACCATGCATCTACCTTGTACTCAAGAAATAGGCACGACTGCTTTCTTTTCTTAAAAAAAAAATAACAACAAACTCAAATGTTTCCTGGGTGCTTTTAATAAAGCTGAATGATACCTATTATTTAAAAAAATTCATCCTTTATAAGTAATCTTCCCTATTTTCATTTTTTAATTTCTCGACTCGTTTCATCCTTAATACTTTCATTAGAACTATGTGGTTTACAAAGCATTTTCACTTCAAGTATCTTATTTCTTCCCCACAACTAGCCCTGTGAGATAGATATTACTGATACTCATGTTACAAATGAAGAAACAGAGGCAAAGGAGCTTTATCATACCCTAAAGTCATGCAGTTTGCAACTGGAGAGCTGGAACCCAGGCCTTCTCACTCCCAGCCCACTTCTCTTTACTCTTAGATCATAGTTGCTTCCTTTCCTCTCATTTTTTAACTTGCGTCTTATCTTTGCCTCTCTTGCTGTCCTGAGATATTCATCATCTCCTCTCACCCCAAATCCCACTCAACTCCTTCTCTACTACTTTGCTTCTTGGCAGATACTAGAAATGTGCTTTTAGAGTCCGTCTCATTTTGATTTTACCTTTATAGTTGGTATGCATGTCACTTTCTCCTTAATTGCAATTAAACTTCCTGGGAGACTTGATCTTGACTATAAATCTGCAAGGTACTGTGATCACCAGCCTACTTCAAATCCTCCCCCACTCCATTTCTCCCCACATTCCCACAGGGGACCCAGACTCAATGTGCATTGTTCTGGAAGCTTTATCTGCATGCTGTTCTTATTAAAGGGCTTAGAAATGTTCTCAAGGGCTATTATCACTTTAGGAGCCCAATCTATTGTCTTGGTGCTGGATACTTCCCATGACTGATCCTCAACAACAGTTCTCTAAAGGCCAAGCTAGGCTGGGTCTCATTGTCTCTTTCCTACTGCTTAACAGCCATGAACTTGATTGCTCAATTCAGTTGACCCCATAAGCACTCTGACCTAGTGACCTCTACTGTTAGCCCAGTCTGGTACATCACAGTCCCAACCCTGTGTGGAAACACCTTGATAGTCAGTGCCTGTCCCCACCCCAACCTTCATTTCCAGTCTGTTTAAAAAGCATTGTTCTTTATAGTTTTTCTATCCCCACTTACACACTCAGATTTCTGATTCTCTGAGTTTCTGGTTTCTCCTTAGCCACACTAGAAATGTTAGTAGGAAAGGAAATTTTCAAAGCAGGAATATGCTGGAAACATGTGCAGAGCAGTAAATGGTTCAAAGACAGCAGCCCCACCCCCAAAACTACTGGATCCAATTGGAAAACACACTGTCCCAGTTTGTGAGCCCACCCAACATACACCAGAGGGCAAGGCTATGTGCTGTAAACTGCTTCTTTGCAGGAAGCAGCAGCAAGAGCTAGACACACTTCAGATACATATACCCTGGTTCCCCTTTCTCAAGTTAACACAGAAATGAAATAGAACAAACAAAAGAAGCCTTCCTCTTACTACCTTTTATAAATGAAAGATCTTTAATGCCATATATTCATCTAATCCCTGCAAACATATGTGAATAGTGTCTGCTGTGGTCATCACTCTGGTCGCCCATTCATCCCACACTGCAGCACCCATTGTGTCTAGCACCCACCTACACCCTCAGTGTGCCCACAGTTTTGGATTTGAAAAATATCCTCATGCAAGACTTTCCTAATTTCTGAAACTCTACTCCGGTGAGTAACTCATGTTCAGTTTCCCCCTTATTGAGTTTATAGTAGGGCCCAGTAGACAAGTACTTGAAACAAGTCTGAGCTACTTATCAGACTCCAACCCCATCACAGGCCAGCTAAGCCTCAAAGCCGGTAACTCGGGGAGTCAGAAATGCACGATGGGGGAGACTACTGAGGAACAAGAGTTCGGTTTGTGAAACTCCGTCAAACACAAGTAGCAAACTTAATTTCTCAGCTGGTGGGACTCATATTCATGCCATCACCTTCACAGCGCTTTTTCTTGATGTTGCACAGCCAATATTTTTCTGAACATTGGAAGGGTTGCTAAGCACCCAAGCTTTCAATAACTTCACGCTGGTTATGTAGTGTTTTCCAGAAAACTCCCTATTTGTGTCAATAAAGTGTCTTGAACACCAGCTGCTCTGGCTTCCCTCTACTACCATACAGCATGTGTGTGTTAAATGTGCTCTGGCCCTTCAGACCTCCCAGCCGCATCAATTCCTCAACTCACAGCCAGTGCATGTATGCCCACAGGATAAACAATAGAATTAGTGACCTAGAATTAACTGTATGATAAACATGTCACCTGGCCTCTTGTGTCCCCTTTTCTTTCCTGCCCCAATACAAAGGAATCCAAGAGTCACTTGAGTTCCCACCTGCCTGACATCAAATAAGTTTCTTACCCGGTGGCAAAGGGCTGACTGCAAGGGACACCTAGTGACAGGAGGGGCTGAACGCCCTTACCCGTGTCTGCAAATGGCCATAAAGCAAGGCTGGCTCCCCGTGCCCATCTTCCGGAAGTGCCAAGGCCCCAAGGGGGAAAGTTCAAGGAACTGTCATCAGGATTCAACCACAGCCCACAGTGCTCTCCTACGATGTCAAAAGTGATGATTAACAATGAAGTAAAAAATGACCTTAGTGTGGTGCCAGCCACTATACTAAGAAACACACACACACATTTTGTATTATCTCTAAAAAACTGAGGTTTGGAGTAATGAATGGGTGACACAGCTGGCAAATAGTGACAATACAGTTAGTACTCGGGTCTGATTCCAAAACTTCTAGCCCATCCCACTTTATCAGGCTGCCTCCCTGCCCTGGGCAGAAAGTCCTCAAAGTTGGGAGGATCTTGAGGCTGGGAGGACAGCTGTGCAGACGGGTGTAAGGGAGCCTCCCCACAAATGCTGCCACAGCTGGGGAGACCACACACACGTGGGACAACAAGCACTAATGAATCAAGCAATAAACACACACACGCCGTTTATTATTTCAAGTTCAATACTTTTTCTTTTAATTCATACTGTCCTTCCGTGGCTCTAGCTACTTTACATTAAGATTTGCTGGGAAGCCTTGTATGTTTCTAGGTACTAGCAGTAAGGTTTCAGACCCTGTGCACAGCACCAGGTGAGTACAGTTACAGAGCCAGATCCAGGTGGCCAGACAACTCAGCTGTGATCAACCTGTGTCCTTCCCCATACAGCAGCCAGTGCAGGAGGTAAGGGCTGCTCCCTCGGCCTCACCCCACTCCCACCACATCAATCATCCAGGGGCCGTGCCACCTCTGACTCAGGCCTCCCCACCGTGGAGCCTAGACTGAGGGGTGTTGGGGCAGCAGCACCATGGGTTTGGGAAGAAGCTCTGGTCCATGCAGAGAGTGGTCTGGCCCCAGAGTGTAGCACAGGGAAATGTTCGGACACACACTATTGTTGGCAAGAATGGTTGCTTATACTATGTGATCTCAGCACGTGGCACCCCAGCTCAGGGCCAGCTCCCAGACACAGCCAGCTGTCTTGCCCACAGCAGAGGCCACAAGTTGCTTCTGCAGGTCTCACTGTCTTGAAGAGAAGACAATGCTCTTGATGCCTTCCTGTGTCAGGCAGACCAGGCAGATGGTCCTCAGCTCCTCCAGGCAGGCAGGCAGGCAGGCAGGCAGGCAGGCAGGCAGGCTCGTGCTTCTCACCAGCAGCCGGCTGCCATCAGGCCCCCAGGCTTGCGGAGAACCTCAAGTCACAGCAGAAAACAATGCCCAAGGCCTCTGAGCTATCTCACAGAACAAAACAGGGAGCTGGCCAGGCCCCTCCCTGCTGAGGCTGGGGCAGGAGTGAGGTAACAAGGTTGGGCAGAGAGGGAAGGACAGCTCTCTACAGCTTGTGCAAATTCCTGCTCCACATCAGGGAAGCAGGGCCGTTACAAGATGGCCTTCCAGGAAAACGCTCCTCTCGGACCCAAAACGACTCTTCTGGAAGAAAATGTAGAGGTGGAGGAGAGTGGGACCAGCCTGTTGCAGGTTGGGAATGAGGGTTAAAGATGTCAAGTGGTGGATGGGATGATTATCCCACAGCCTACAGACAAGGGTGGGAGTGGGGAGGAGAGGTTCTCAAGTTTTGTACTGGAACAGGCAGGTAGAACCAGGAGGAGTGCACAGTCCTTCCATCTGGGGGAGGAGTGCTCTTTCTTTGGGGGCGGGACAGGGAAGAAGGGCTGGCTTTTTGCTGCCCTGCAGAGCTAAAAAAGCAGCCCAGTATGGCACAGAAAGAACCTTCTCAGACCACACACAGTCCACAGAGACTCTTCTCCTAGTCCTTTCTCCAAGACTCCACCCGAGCAGTGCTGCCAGTGACTGTAGCAGACGTGGTCCAAGTGTGGTCGGGGACAGGGCGTGGGGGGCATCCCTTTTAACAAAGCATTTCTCTCAAGGTTTCTCGGTCCTCTACCCCCACTCCTTCTCATCCAGGTTCTTAGTGTGAGCGCTCTAAGGCAGCCCAAGGGTTTTCACCTAAACTTCACACTTAATCTGAACCCCAGCAAGGTTAGAGTTGAGCCAAAAGAGAAGTGCTAGAACCAGGAGTGACTTCTCTCCACTGTTTCCTCTAGCAAGAGGGAGGAAGGATGGCAAATGAAAGGCTTCACAGCCTAGGAACAGAAGACATGGTGCCCTTCTTGCCATTATCCTTTTCCTCCCAGCTTAAGAGTACCCAAAGGGAGGTCTCTCCCCAGTCTAAGACTAGGCCAGCAAAGGAGGAAACACCATCTTGGGTTAACACTGAGCAATACAGCAAGCCTAATCTCTCTGCCTCCACCCTCCCCTTCCCCACCCTCCACCCTGCATCTTACTGGTTCTCCCTAACCCTCCTAGCTAAAAAAGAAAAGAAAGTTTAACTACCCTTCATTCATTTCCTGGGGACCCAGACCCTGTCCTTCCACTCACCTAAACACCAAGGAAGCTCTAGCCCTGAAGGGAACCTTGGAGTCTAAGAAAGCCCAGCCTTGCAGTATGTGGTACAGCCTCCAAGGCAATGCCAAAGCTGGAACCTACATTAGAGGGGGTCTAGACCAGGCCCATCCTGCTGCAGATGCAGGTACTGGAGCTCAGGGAGCAGCAGGGACTTGTCCAAAGGCAGGGCCGGCACTCAGGTCCCAGTCTCTCAACTCCGTGCTCTTACAAAGAGCTTCAAGTTGCTGTGGATGTTCTCCCCTGTACCAGGCAGGTGGAGGCAGGAAAGGGGAGGAGCTACAGACCGATCTTGTTTTTTCCACCACAGTAAGCTGGAGGGGAAGTGTAGACCCTAATGTTGTTCTTCGCTTGGTTAGAAACTCTGCAAAATCTTTGCAACTGAGGGCAAGCTCTCAAGTGTAAACCATGTGAATCCTCAGAGAAAGACTACAAGTTTTTACATGAACAAAACCAAGAAGCAATGGCTACAAGAAATAACCTAAGAGGGGATGGTTTTGACGCACCCTTGCAGGCAGCTGCGTGCCCAGCTGCTGCCATGAGCTACAATGTTGTTTAGGGGTTTTACTCCCTGACTTCTCGGCAGGCCAAGTGCCCTTGACAGGTTACTAAATAAGGGAGCTAAGCTTTGTTTGGGAGTGAAGAGAGTTGTTTTTTGAAAATGAGAAACTTGTTAGAACAGCTGACTCCCATAGGAGATCTGTGATGCTTACAAATGAGGTGGGCCAGGGGTGTTTCTGATGGGCACACATTGTCTCCGGGTTCAAAGCCCCAGAAATCATGAGCGTTCCTTGTGCAAAGTAAGTACTGCCCTCCTTGTCACCTGCTGTTCCCTGGAATGGGCCTGACAAGTCAGGAGGAAGCACAATAACCCTAGAGCCAGAGCAACTCACATCACTTCACTCCCAGGAAAGAACGCTTCTTAAGTCACACCAAAGGCCCCACCTGGGCCCTTTAATAAGTGCATGATTTAAATAAATAAATAAATAAATAAATAAATAAGTGTGGAATAAGTTAGAGAATTTATCATTTTTGTCTTTAAAGGTTTCTGGGGATAATGTTGGCTTCTGGTTACTCCAATAAGCAACTATCTAGCAGTCTGCACTGCTCCCCCTTTTCTGGCTCAGGGCCCAGAAGCCTGCACCTCCCAGGTCTCCCCTTCCACGTCCTGGGCAGGGGTGAGTAGCGGCCCACTGGCTGAGAGGCATTTGCACCTTTCAACTCCTCCAAAGCCTTTGTCCCCTGACAGTAGAATGATGACATTCAAGCCCTGTCCTAGGGATATACACTGTACACCCCAGCTGCTGCCACAGAGCCTTCCCATGCCATTCCCCAGGGCACACCTTTGTCTTCTTATTCCACCCATATGGCAATAACAAGGCTGCATTCTCAGAGACACTGAAAAGTCAAAAGTGTGTAATCATCAAAGAGGGATGCTCAGGCCATTCTGAGAGAAGAATACGAATGGCTCTTCCTTTGAGCTAAATCACTAATAGAATCTTCCTTTCCTCTGTGCCTTCCATCAGGGTGCTGACCAGGAGCGCAAGCGATTGGGAAGACCTCTCCTCGCCAAGCAGGCGTGGCCCCTTCCCGATTGAGAGAAACCCTGTGAGCTCTACCTGTGGCGGGTAGGAGTCCTTTGGTTGCTACATGGAGAAACAGCAGTCAGTGTATGAAGGATGGTAAGCGTGCCCAGAAGGGTCCCCACAAAGTCAGATAAACACATGGGTCCCAGGGAGCCAGCCCTGGAAGGCCCCTGGATGACACACGCCCCCAACCTAAAGTCTTCTTTCTGCTCCTCGGTGATATCCGAGCGCTCTGGTACAGACACTAAAGATCTTGCTCCCACTGCCAGAACTCCATGGCTGAGGAACTGAGGAACTGAGGATCTGGGATGGCCCTCTTAGGGCAGAGGCTCCATTAGGCTTCTCTAGGCCCAAATACACACACTTTGCCAAATCATTCCCTCCAAGGACTGAGGTCTTCTGAGGTCTTCTTCCATGTGCCAAGGGCCTCGGACAGTCGTCTCCCTTAACTAATGTTGGTTCTTCTCTGAGAGTAAATGATGCTGGCAGCCAAGCTAGTGCTTGGGGACTGGAGCCCACTACTCACACAGCCTTCTCCATTAGACCCCACAGTCCTGCTCTGTGAGGGCATTCACCCTCAAACCCTGGAGCTCCTATAATACCCTGATTCACCCCAGAAACCAAGCTGACAGCTCAAAGTGCAGGAATCAGAGCCATAGACCTGACTACTTCTGACCACTAGAACAGTTTAACAAGATCAAAAATGCTTCCCCCTGGCTAAGAAACAATGTGCTCTTAGGGCACAGAGAAAAAAATAGGGCTTTAGGCACTAGAAAGTGATGCCTCCTCCAGATCCAGCCTGGGGGAAGACCAGAGAGAAGGGGGTGGGGGTGGGAAGGTAAGAAATCCCCAGCCCTTATTGGGTCCATACCCCACACAGGTCAGAGGAAGGTGAGGGGCTGATCGAAACACCCTTCACGCACGAGTCCTTGGGAGTCTGTGGCTGCAGAGCCCAGACCTGCATAGGCAGCCTCCCGAGCTGCCCAGCAGTCCTCCCTGCCTGCCTCCCGACTCGTGGGCTCTGAAAGGGGCAGCCTCACAGGAAGAGTTTGGACTGGGCTCCTGCCCTTGCTGCTTCCTTGTTCCCAAGAGAACCCCTGTGGAAGCGTGGGGTGGGGAAGAAAAAATTCTCTTTTATTTTGAAAACAAATCCAAAGGGGATTCGGGAATGAAGCACCTTAAGCAATGCCCCCCCCAGAGACTTCTTTTCAAGACTCTGGAGCCTTCACAGGCATGACTTTGGCTCAACGACATTCCCCTTCTTGGAGCCAAGCGCGGCCAGGGGAAGGGAGGGGACTGGAGGAGGGGAGGCAGTGGGTCGGGGAGGGTGGTGCTGAGAGGCGGTCCCTGCCCTCCTCGGCCCACCGCTGGCCAGCACGGGAGGCGGTCCAGCTCCTTCTCCCTGGTACATAGGCATGATCTCTTTTTAAAATCTGTATATAATATATATATATATATTTATATTCTGTATATATATATTTATATATATATTTATATGGTCTATGTACATGTATTGCACAGGCCTCTTGCTGCCGCCCTGTTCCTGCCTGGTCAGTGGTAGCGGCTCCTCTTCTCTTCGCTGCTTTCTGTTGTGTAGTCACGGGACCTGATGCCGTTCTGAAGATCAATGAGTGAGTCCTTCATCTGTAAGACAGGGGACCCATCCCGCCCGGGGGCGTGCCCTCAGTGGGCTTTTCCAAGCAGCAGCACCCGCTGCACCTGCCTGTGGCAGGCCCCCTGTGCCAGGGGGCTCCTAGCCCAGGGGAACTCTCCAGGGACACGGTCTTGGGCAGAGAGGCACAGCCAATCGAGCACTGAGGGCTCCTAGCTCGAGGCTCGCCATGTCCTAATGATTTGTGGCCCTTGTATCGCTGAATTTTAAGAAGTCTCTTAAAGCATTCCATTGCTAAAAGGACCCACATCAGACCGCCATGTACTTGTTCTTGTACTCATTCCACGTGGTTTCCCCATGAATCCCGACTGGACTGGACTCCTCGTATTCCTGCCTTTGTGCGTTTTGCAGCAGTGTCCCCGCAGCCTGGGACTCGTCTCTCTCGCCTATCCCAACCTTGCCTACCTGGCAAGGCCCAGAGCAAGCCCAAGCTTCCTCTGGCTCCCAGTCATCCTTCTCTTCCTGGCCTCTCATACACACTGCTCACTGAAACCTGGGACTGCAATGCATCACGTTCTTATACGCCCCGGGTGCCGAGCAGAGAATTGAGTAGGCTTTCTAGCTATATCTACACCACTGACTTAACCTTAATGACTTTCTTAACCTCCTCTAAGAAACAGACACATTAACATTGTCGGGTTATGGGACAGTCTGAACGGGGCAGTCCCAGCGGAAGAATCTTAAATGGCCCTCCAGACCGCAGCACACCTAAATGCTCTGTCTAAGGAAGCTGCTCTGCTACAGCAAGGCAGGGCGAACACGTCATAGGTGACGGCCGTCCACTCTGAGAACCTCTGGTTGCTCTGCCCCAGAGAGCACTTTCTTCTCCAGTTCTTCTATATCCTCCGCTTAATAGAGATGAGGGGCCCATTACTGTTCTTCACAAGTTACTTTCAAAGGTAAGGAAACAAAACACCTGTCTGAATCTGACAGCCCCAACTTAGGGGGACCTGCCCTGAACCAGAATTGAACCAGGTCACCCAGTCCAAGTGCCCCTCCCACCCCATTTAATTCATAAGTTCCTTCCTGTCACCTCCTAAAGGGTTTTCGGGGACAGACCCTGAGGCCTTCAGAGTAGCCAGTCCATGGCTGAGCAGCTGTAACCATAAGTAGCCTGCTTTTATCTGACAACTGGAAAATCCAATTCTCTATAACGTCCAGCCCCCGTCCAGCCCTCCAGAGTTTCACGAGCAGGCTAGCCTGTTGGACCTCAATGTCTATGGCAATGTCTACAGTGGTCCTGTCCCCCTTGGCCCAGCCTTCCCCTCTCCTGAACATGTCTTCAGTCCCATCAGCCCCTCCTAATGGGACGGGGCTCCCACCCTCCTCACTATGCTGTTTACCTGCTTTTGGTTAAAAATATCCCTCCCTAAACATGGCCCCAAAGCTAAACGTGGTACTCTAAACACATTATAAGAGATCATGATGGCAGCATTGAAACACTGCCTCCTTCATTTAGAGCTAAGACTAAACTATGAAGGGAAAACAAAATTCAGTGCAAATGAGCACCTCCCAGCTGCCATCAAATCCCGACAGCAATTTCATGAAGCAATGACTAGAGTTCCCATTTTATAAGTGAGGAAGCTGAAGGTCACTACTATTAAATCCCTTGCTCAAGGTCACAAAATTCCTCAGGGTCAAGGTTAGGGTTCCATCTCTGGCCTGGCTGACCACAAACATCAGAAAGAAACCCCTCAGAAACAGAACTTCCACCGCAACAGAATGAACCCCTGGCTCCCGTGCTTCTTGCCTGCATCCAACGGCCCCTTCTGTCATCTTGGCAACCACATGCGAGCTTTTCACTGACATTCAATTCTTCTGGGGAAGGAAGAAACTCCCTCCCCTGACAAAACCAAGCTAATTACTACGTTTGCCCCAGAACGATCTTCGTCAATAGATGCACCTATGTTTCAGAAGGACACAGGCAATGGTGCGGGGAGAAGACATCGAAAGGACAGCACAGCCACCCTCCCAGGCAGTCAGTGCAGTCTGGGAAGGTGCACCTCAGAGGCGGTTGCTTGTGTGCAGGCTGGGACCACCGGGCAGGGGCGGTATGCATCATACGGAATTAGAAAACGTGCTTTCTGGGAAGACAGCTCTCAGCAAAAGGGGATTCTCTCTTCAAATGTCTTCCAGATGGCACTGGGTGGGCCCCACAATTAATTCTTCTTTCCATCTAACCTATAGCTTTCCTGCTGCAAATCCAGGGTGTTGTTTTATTACTGGGGAGAACACACCTGGGTCTCCAACAGCTCCCTCAAGGATGGTTTTAAAATTAGAACAATGGGAGGCCTAAGGACAGAATGAATGGAGGACAAGGTCCAGTGGGCGGTGATGGCGAGTCCTCTCAGGGCACTAGGAAGGAGTTCCAGCTCCAGAAGACCAGGACAAGGAGAGAAGGGGGTGTCTCACCTGGTCAAGAAGCATCACCGAGGATTTGATGATCTCCCTCCATTTCTGGAGTTCAGTATCATGGTACTTTTGCTGGGACTCTAGGAGCTGGGCCCATTCTGTGTGAGACTGGGGCAACCTGTGGGGTGGAAGAGGGGGAGACCAGCAGCTGCAGTTATGCTCGGTGGACTGCCCCTGCTCCTTGACCGCTAAAGGACAAAGAATCACATCAGTGTGCTCTGTCCTCTGTGCACTGCCCCTGCTGGCCTGTGTCCTGAATCAAAAGCACACTAAAACGATATGCAAGTCCTTGGAGCTTGCTTACAGACTTGTCACAAAGGCTTATGCCCTGGCCAAGGGCAGTGGGGCTGTTCCCCAGGAGACTAGGACTCGGGAGTGAGGGCTCAGTACGAGGGGAGTGAGGGTGGTGGCAAGTGGGGAAAGGGGCCAGGATTACCTTTCTTGGAGCCTCAGGCCCTGCCAAGCAGTGAGGGTCTGGGTGGTGTATTCCAGCATCCAGAGTTTGTAGAAGAGCATCACGTTGAGGAGGACCAGCAGCACCAGGCTAGAGGGGAGATGGGGGCAGGAGGCAACAGCAATGAGAAGCCACTTGAGAAAGCAGGATCCCTCTTGGAGCAAGGGACACCCCCACCCCAGAGGCTGCTGTCCTTGACCAGTGGGTCACAGGAAACATTGCAATGAGCAAGCAAGTGAGCGGAGGGATGCAGCAAGGGGGAGAGAGAAGCACTCTAATCTGCAGGGGCCAGATGACCAGCAGGGCTGTGGACAGGGGTTGGGGCTAGGGCACTAGTAAGGAGAGACACACAGAAGTCACCCAGACTCTGAGTGCCTGGGGAAGCGAGGTTAAGGTGGAGAGGAAACGAGGTGAGAGTGTAAAAGAGCCAGTACCTGAAACAGATCCTAACGGGAGCAGGGAGGAAAAAGGGGGAGGAGGCAGGTTAGAAACAGACTTGTGGGGAGAGGGGAAGGCTGCCCTTGAACGGGCCAGAGGACAATCTGAGAAAGGAGCACCAGAGCCGAGACATACGGACAGCGTCCAGCTCAGGAGAAGGAGAGCCAGCTGCACATGGATTCTTAGATCTCAAGGATGATCAGCTGAGGTCAGATTCCCTCCCCAATCCTGGTCCTGTTTGGAGAGGCTCAGCTGGTAGGAGCGCCCTCCCGTAAACCAAAAGTTCGCTGGTTTGATTCTCAGTCAGAGTGCGTGCCTGGGTTGAGGGTTGTACACAAGGCAACCCATTGATGTTTCTCTCCCCCTCTCTCTCCTTTCCTTCCTCTGTAAGCATGTCCTCAGGTGAAGATTAAAAAAAAAAGATTCCTTTAGCAACACAACATGAAACACAACTGGAGGGTGAGCCTGTAAGAGGAACTCAGAGGGATTCCCAGCTCTGCCCTGGTGAGCCTGCCAGATGCTGGCAGGATCGTCCCAAAGCTGCTGAAGCCTCCTCCTTGCATCTGCTGCTGGCCCACAGGGTCACCTGGACCACCTCCAGTTTCCCAGAGAGGGGCCAGAACTGGTGGGTGTGAGAGAGGAGGCCAGAACAACCTAGGGGTCAGAGGACCCGGTGGGGAATGGAAAGTCCCCGAGAGACAGGAAAGTCTCTGCTCTCAGCCTCAGCAGCTGCCTAAAGATCATTTTGTGACATTTCCAGGATGAGGCAAAGAAGACTCAGGTAAAGAGAGGCTGCTACAGTTCTTGGCTCACCACTTACAAGTTTCACTTTTGATCAAATTCGCTAGCTTCTCCGAAACCCAGCCCACTCCACTGGACAGTGAGAGGTAGCCTGAGAAAGCTGGGACTATTCCGTGGCTCAAAGGGCTGTGCATGATGCACCCTGCACACAGCAGGCCCTCTGCAACAGGCAGTTACCTTCACCAAAGTAGGAGGTTCAGGTGTACATCAGGGAAAAAAATGACAAAATGGGAAGATAAAAGGAATAGATGGAAAAGACCAACAGAGAAAGAAAATCTTATGTGCACCTTTGACCTTACAAAGTGCTTGTAGTGTGCGTGTATGTGTGTATACACGATGCTGAATCTCTCACCTGTGCTTCTAATTGGCCCCTGCAAGTTCCTGAGGCTACTCAGCTGTGGTCTCAGGGTGCTCAGTTCTCCACAAGAATCTGCCAATTTTGCGCTGAATATCAACAATTCTGTCTGCAATCCTATCAGCACACACTGCATCGTCAGAATGCCCATGTTTTTGGTATGAGCTGCACACTCTTAGCAGCTGCTTGTGGGTCTGTGTTAAAAGTCCTGCCTGTGCTCTGTGAAGGTCATGGGACACCTTGCCTGCTGTTTGAGTGGGGGCTCAGAAGTGGTTGACCAGAGAAAAAGGTAGTCACGGGCAGGCATATGGTGGCTCACACCGGCCAGACAAGGGGCAACCAACCCTTACTGTCCACCTACACGTATGCATCAGCAGACCCCTCTGGACTTGCTGGAGCTGACCAATGAGGCCTGATCACCATACAGTGGCAAAGCCCCGAAGTTCATTAATATCACGCTATGCAATCACTCAGGTGAGCAGGCCTCCTCTACTTACATGACTGAAAATGCAGAGAGAGGTTAACACAGAACTAACCCACAGTTAGTCTTCTATCTACCCAACTCAACATCAGAGATTTAGTTTTAACAACAATTTTAAAGTGACGATGATAAAAGTGAATTTTACTAGTTTTGCAGTTGTCTTTATATTTAACATTGTAAAAATAGTTTGGCTTCTTATGCCATATACAGCAGAACTTTACATCTACTTTCTTGCTATGTGGATGCACAAAGTAGGTTTACAGCTGTCCATGAAGAAGACAGACAGTCAGGATTATGACAAGGGCTTTAGTAACTCAAAGAATGTCTGTCACAGTACAGCTGTAAGCCTACTTTTGCCCAACATGCACATTAAGTCAGGTAAATCAGCAAGGCGCCTGCGTTCCTCATGGGCTCCTGTCCTCCAGTGGCCCCAGGGTTGTCCTCAGCCACACTGTCTTTTCACCCCTGGGTCCTCCTCTGGCAGTCTCACTCATGCCCACAGCTTCCGTGCTACCTGTAATTAATTCTGCACCTGCAGCCTGAACTCTCCGCAGCCCCAGGTCCACAAGTAGACAACTGTCTGCCAGTCACCTTTGTTTGGGTAACCTATGGCAACCTAGGGACACCTGGAACTGACAGCACGTCTCTGACAACTTCTCACTGAGGTCCAGATTTCTGTGTATGACACAAACCACCTGCAGACACGGAAGCCAGGAAGTCCTCTTCCTTCCCTGTGTAACCAGACGTCAGCAGCCTCTGAGCTACGGTCCCTCATTGCAGTGTGGCAGCTGCTCTCGCCCACATTATCAATTGTTTACAATAAAATAAGCATATACTTTTCCTGGACTGTACTCATGGATTTGCCTGGCTCCCCTGCAAGTGGGGGCCCACGAGGGCACGGTCCTCATTCCTGGCACAGAGCAGACTCCCAGAACATCTTTCACAAACAAATAAACGGGCTCCTAAAATGCTCTGGAACATTTCTAGGCTGGTATCTGTGCAATGGTGTAGTAATTTTTAATTTTCCATCTGTATTACCCACTGGAGACTGAGTTCCTGAAGGGCCTGGATGCTGTGTACAGTACTTTCTTCTGAATCCTGGACCCCTAGCACAGAGTAACTGCTGAATAAAACACAGGAGATGAAGCAAAGAGGCGAGACATGACAGACAGAGCACTGATCTGGAGAGAAAGGACTAGGGATGACACTGGGGGAGCTTGTGCGCCCGAAGAGACCGGGAGGAGGTAGGTGGCAGGTGGGAGTGGAAGGTGGGGGGTGGGGGAAGGGAGCAGAGTGCAGTCCCTTACACACAGCTGATGACCAGCAGCAGCTTAGACACGCTCTGCAGGTGAAAACCGTTGGCGGTGTCCTCGGGGACATGCCGGGTCTGCGTGGAACCTGCAGGAAAATACAGAGGCTGTTACTGCCAATGGCTGATGTGACACTGGTTATGCACAGAACTTCAGGGAATGACAGAGAACCATCCATGATGCTGTCATGGCAACAGTGTCATACCCAGTCTTCCAAAAGTAAAAGGCAAGATCCTCAAGGCAAGGTCATGGGTTAGGTCAGGCAAGGTGAATACTGAAGTCACTGAACAAGTAAGAAATCAGTAGAGCTCCACAGCCAGGACACACAGGTACAGGACAAAGCAGAGACTGCGCTGTGCTGGGACCAGACACAGCTTGAGCTCCGGCTCTCTCCACATGGGCTCCATGACCACTCTGAGAGTCAATTTATCCAAGTGCAGTGCCATCAGGAATCCTCTGGGGGGAGCAGCGGGGGGAACACCGAGGCCTGCGGCCTCCACTTCCTGCTCTCCTGTCCCACCCAGCTCAGATGGGCACCCAGGTGTGGGTATAGCACGGTGAAAAACACCGGACTGGCTAGTCCCTAAGGCCTCTTACCGCTGCAAGTTTCCATGACTGAGGAAAGATGTGAGGTGGAGAATGGCTGGATGGGGAGAGGGAGACATATCAAGGGAACCCACCACCAGGAGGGCCCATGGAGGCCGAGGGAGGGGGGCTGCTTTGGATCCCCCAGCCCCCGATCTTTGTATGCCAAGGACATCTCTGGGGTCCGAGCTCTGGCTTCTCTCTGTAGCATTTCCCAAGAACTTGGAAGGTGCACATGTGAGCCTATCCGGGTGAACCTGGAGCACAGGCAGCATGGGGCCACGAAATCCCCCAGGCAAGGTTTGTTCAGCAGAGCACTCAGCTGGGGAGGCAGGGGCTGAGAAACTTAAAAGGCAAGTGGAAACAGAAAGAGCATTCAGAGCCTTAGGTTTAATGAGCTATATGCAAATCCCATACATCAATATTCGAGAGTGCACACCGGCACAGGCTGCAGCTTCAGCCCAAATCCCAGACACACCCGTCATCCCCACCTGGCACACACCTGCCACGTGCTTGATCCTGCGGCCCACATCTTCATCGGTGGGTGTGGTGACGGGGCTCATCACCTCCTCTAGGTGAGGCCCCCGCAGGTGGGCATGGGGACGCTTCCTCCTCCGCACTGCTGGGGGCTTGCTGGCCTTCTCTTTGGGAGACTGCCTGTGCATCTCAGCCAGGTAGGTGCTCTCCACCTTGGTCAGCTCGCTCTCTGTCAGAGACAGAAGGGCCACATCGAGACTACCTGCCCACACCTCCAACCCAGCACCCTGGCCTCCAGAAGCCACTCTGTGAACTAGCTGGGTCCTCCATAAGGAAAGCACCCTCTCTACTGTGCTCAGGGAGGTTGACAGGGATGGCAGGGTCCCTCAGGGATGCCCATGAGCCTCAGGGCGTACTGCCCAGCCCACACCCCTCTTCCGGGCTGTTCACCATTGTGGAGAAACCGACGTTCCTGACACCGGCATCCACATACACACAACGTGGGACACATCCCATTTCCCGCAGGACGAGTTCACAGGCTGTGTCCTTTCCACAGAACTTATCATCACCCGCCAGTGCAACTAGACCTGAGGTTCACTCCAGGGGGACAGGGTAGCCTTAACATTCTCATGAAAGTTACAGGTACTGTCTCTGGAAAAATACATGTGTTCACATACATGCCAAATTTTGTCTCCACTCCTGAGGCCGACTTAGGGGCCCCTTTGTCTCAGCCTCCCCCCACTCATTCTCCACGGTCCCACAGCCCGCCAGCAGTGAGGGTGATGCTCACCTAAGTGCCGGAAGTAGTCCTCCAGCCCACTCCAGAAGTTCTTTTCAATGAAGGTCTTCACCAAGCCCCAGGGCTGTTTGCGATAGCGCAGCTCTGTGGAGACCCTGAGAAACAGGCCAGAGGCAAGGTCAGCCAGGCAAACCCTTCTCTGCTGGGAAAACGTAAATTCAGGTTCAAGTCCACAGCAGCTTCCTGCCTGTGCTTCACTTCAGGAGGTAAAAAGTCCATTCACATTCACCTTATCACCACCTCATGTCCAGGGCCACCCTTTGAGGTCTGTGCAAGACCTCAAAGCTAGCAGATTTATCCTCATTTTTATATGTAACAACCTGGGTTTTAGAATATTTAAGCAGACCAAAGGCTAATGACAAGGGCCCACAGTTATTTCATGATGCCCCACTGCCTCCTCCCAGGGGGCTTCTGATGGTGCCAGAGCCCTGCCCACTGCGGGGCCCTTCTCTCCTCCTCCAGAGACTCCTACGTCCAAGTCAGGCTCTGGGTCTCATCAAGCCCACCTTTCAGAGCATCAGCTGCTCTTGGTCCTGGCTCTTGCCTCTCCCTGTCCCCATTCTACTCCCCAGGTCCCGCCTTTTCTGCGCCTCCTCTCACAGTCATAAGTCTCTCTCCTGCCCCAGGTTTCAGCCCTTCCTCTCCCACCAGCGCCCCTACACTCTGCCTCGCCTCAGGTTCACCCTTGCCTGTCATTCTTCCGGTCTGTGCTCTGCACATTTAAGGCTGGCTGCCTTACCTTCACCTCCATCCCCAGGGACACCAGCTCCACCCTGAGAGGAGCATGCCTCTACTTGCAGCCACCTCACCCCACACCCACCACCCCACCCCAATTCCTGCCCGAGAGCTGTGTACTGGATTGAGGGTGGGCACCCTCTGTCAGGGTCGATCTGAGACAACAGGCCACCTCTGTGTGAACTGGACAGAATGGGCATCTAAGCAAAAGCTCCTCCAGGGGAGCTGGAAATGAAAATCCCGATACTGTGGACAGGAGGGCAAAGAGAAGAGAGGAAGAAAGAGTAACCAAGAAAAAAAAATTATTTTAAGATGATGAGAAAGATGCAGGCCCTCTTTGAGGTGTGAGTATTCAGATCTTCCTGATTCCTAAGAGACCTCTCTGCAGCCTTTTACAAAACACCTATTTATTTTAACTACCTGTGTGAAGTTATGCTCTGTACCACCGAAAGAACTTGGTCTAAGATACAGGTATCCACACCAATCCTTTTCAAATGAGTGGGATGTCTGGTGGATGTCTCGACTTTTCAGATTATGAGCTTTTTTTGTTTTTGTTTTTTCACTGATTTTAGAGAGAGAAAGAGGAAGAGAGGGACATGCACTTGTTGTTCCACTTATTTGTGCATCCACTGGCTGCTTCTTGCACGTACCCTGACTGGAGACTGAACTTGCAACCTTGGCATATCAGGATGATGCTCTAACCAACTGAGCTACCCAGGAATCAACCCCACAATCTTGGCCTATTGGGACAACACTCTAACCAACTGAACTACCCGGCCAGGGCTCAGATTACAAGCTTCTTAAATTTCAGGGTCTAAATTTCTTCCTTCCTTGAATGCACATCACAGTGCCCAGGACAGGACTCTACTCACAAACAGAATCTAATTATTCCCTCGCTCATTCGGACATTTCTGCATGCTGGTATGTGCAGGCTTGTGCTGAGTGGTAAAAATAAAGCAGTGAGTGGGTCGGGCTTCCTGCACGCCTCGAGCTGGCTAACGGGATGGGTGGTGGTCACGATGCACACGGTGTGGTATGGAGAGCCCGGGTTTGTGTTTCTAGACCCGGGTTTCAGCACTCACTGGACGTGACTCTCGGCAAAGTTACTTAGCCTATATGACCCTAGGTTTTCTTATCTGAAAAATGAGAATTAATCCACCTCCTTTGGTCAGTCTAAAGAATGGACTTTAAGCACAGTACCTTATAAACTGGTAAGTGGCAGTAGTTATGAGTGGTGCCAAAGGGACATGCAGAGCAGGAAAGAGAACCCGTGGCAGAGACTGTCAGGACACGATGGAGGACACGATGGAAGGGAGAAGAAAGAATGCGTTGGCAGGCCAATTTCCCAAGCTCCTCCTCCGTCCTCAGGACCAAGTGAATGTTCCCAAATGTAAGGGCCCCATGCACTTCCTGCCGGAAACAGCCTACAAGCCCGTCCAACCCTGAGACACTGCACCTGAGCCGGCTCTTGTTCCGGGCCACGCGTGTGAGTGTGTAGCGGTTGATGGTGTAGAAGTAGTCGTGGTACGGCACGTCGTGGGTGAGCACCTCCGCATCGATCACGTAGCACTCACTCTCCTGGCTCGCCTTGTACATAGTCTGTGGGAAGGAAGGCCACTGGACACAGCTGGACAGGAAAAGAGCCCCCTTCCCTGCTCTCTCCACCTGACGCCCCACTTCGGAACCGAGGACCAGGAACCATGGGAGACGCTGCCATTTCAGGGCTGAACCACGCTTGCACCCAGAAGCTTCCTCCAGCATCGGCCCTGCCTCCTATGCCCCAGAACAGAGGCCGTCTAGCCTGCACCACGCACCTCCCCCCACCTCACCTGTGTTTCCCTGACAGTGGCAGTTTTGGGAGCCAGAGGGTTGGTAAGGGTGATGGTGTAAAGGATCACACGGCTCTGGTTTCCATTCTCTTCCTTTTTCCATGGATGGACAATGATATCTGAGGGTAGTGGAGAGCCCTGGAATGAGGAGGGAAAGAGGCATGCCCTCCCCACACTGAGTGTCCCCTCCTAGTGAACTTCTCTGGGCTGCAGTGCATTGCCCACTGGCCTCCAAAAGGAAGCCACAGGGGCTGCAGGCCAGGAAGGAGGGCCAGGGGGCGGGGAGCTGAGGCAGAAAGAGCCTCATTGTGGCAGTGCCATGCATCTGTGCAGGGCTCCTGAACTCTGATCGCTCCTGGCCAGGGCGGAGGCCTTGGGGCCACCTACAGGGTGCTTGCAACACTGGAGCCACTGTGATGAGGGCCTGGGAGCCTGAGAACAAGTACTCCCCTCTAAGGCTGACCGCCCTGTGCCCTTGGCCGGCCCACTCCTCCTGGGAGCAGGGTCTGCTGATGCCCAGTAGCTCTTGCACAGACTCAGATGCTTAGCAGCTGGTGGGGCAGAGCTGCAGGGCCCACTGTGTGTTGAACAGGGGCAGAGGGATGAGGCGGGAGCACCGAGGTACAGAGCATGGACTCTGAGACCCCCAGACCCAAATCCTGGCTCAGCCTCTTCTCAGCTGCACAACCTCGGGCAGTCTGAGGTCCAGCTTCCTCTTAGGCATGGTGTGGGTCACAGTACTCACATACAGCACAGATTTGAGGATTAAATGAGATGATGTCACGTTCTTCGCTTAAAGCAGGTGCCTAACCAGTAAGTGGTGGTTGCTACTCCTTATGAGACAGTGAGTCCTGTAGGGCCCTGGCCTCTCTTGAGGCCTGGGGGCCCAGCACCACGTGCCTGGGCACAGTGGGTAAGCATTGCGCTGTGGCACTGGGGGAAGGAGTTGCTCACAGAGTCCTAAGGGAGCTCAGGCACAGAGTAAGGCCAGAGGGAGGGTGCCCTGAGCCATTGGGTGGCCTGGAAAAGGAGGGTGCTTAGGAAGAGAAGGGAGAAGGGTGGGAGGCGCCAGCCCAGGGAAGAGCAAACCTGAGAAGCGTCGCTGCTCCATGAAGTCCCGCTGGAAGGGTGAGTCGGTGAACAGGAGATCATAGAGCTTGTCCACACTGAAGTTGAAAATTTCATTCACGTATTGCCGACCACTCAGGTCCTCGTAGAAGGCCTGGACCTCCCCTGCACAAAGAGGATGAGGAATAGGCAGTGAAGGGAGCGTAGGGGGCCCTGAGGAAATCCCCCGAGCTCTGTGTCTATGTGGCTAATGTGGGAAGGGTCCCCCAATGTCCAAGGAGACCAGGGAGCTGGGCCACTGAACTCTGTCCATCCTTCCGACAGGTACACCATTGACTCCAGAGGCATGCCATTCATGAAGACTTTACAGAATTTGGGGATGCACTATTTGCTTTGCACTTTCAAGCCTCCCTAATTAAGTAATTTTGGACAAAATTAAATAAATGGCCACTTCTTGAGCTTGCACAAACACAGAGGGTCAGTTATCTAGTGTCTCTAAGTTGACCACAAGTGACAACAAATGGCATGCAACTCATGGCAAAGGTCTGTTCGAGCAACAGTGACCAATCTGCAATGCTCTGTGTGCATAAACGTTTCTCAGAGCCCTGGCTGGCATGGCTCAGTGGATAGAGCACCAGCCTGGGAACCCAAAGGTCACCAGTTTGATTCCCAGTCAGGGCACAAGCCTGGGTTGTGGGCCGGGTCCCCAGTTGGAGGTATACAGGAGGCAACTAATTGATGTATCGCTGTCTCTCTTGCACATCGATGTTTCTATCCCTGTCTTTCTCCCTCCCTCCCCTCGGAAGGAAGGAAGGAAGGAGGGAGGGAGGGAGGGAGGGAGGGAGGGAGGGAAGGAAGGAAGGAAGGAAGGAAGGAAGGAAGGAAGGAAGGAAGGAAGAAAGAAAACAAAAAACGTTTCTCAGGCTAGGCTGCTCTGCAGGACCATGATCTCTAGGTTTGCCCTCCTTCTGCAAAGCACCCAATTCTCCCATGGTGTCAATAACCTTGCATTTCTGGAAATTCTCATCTGCTGCTGGAGAATGTGTCTGAGGGTACAGGTGAGTTGCCGGAGCCCCAGTGCTTCTCCCAAGTCCTCAGCCCCCCACAGTCCCCAATCACTGCACCTTCTCGGGCTGCTGTATGATCATAACAGGAGGCTGACATTTCGGCCCCCGTGAGCCCCGAGGATGCAGACAGGACCTCAGGAGCATCCTGCCAGGTCCAACCCGCAGCTGCACAGAACAGGCGTGGTGGGGGATCTTTAGCCCTCAGTTTATATGAATGGCACACCTGCTGTCACGCAGGACCCAACCTGCACAGTCTTTGCACTGGCCCTGCATCCTGGATGGGAACCAGCCAATGGTGAAGCCACCACCATAGGGGACCCGCAGAGGGGCCTTCCAGTAGCCGGGAGAAAAAGCACCGTCTGCACTGGAGCACTAGGCAGGAACCTACCACCCACTCGGTGGAGGTGCTCCCGAGTGAGGTCCCAGGAGCTAACCCTCTGCGGGAGGCAGGGAAGAAGTTCTCTGAGCAACACTGCAGAGAATGGGGAGTCTCCGGAGTCTGCCCAAGCTTTCTTCTTGCCTGGTCTGACATCCCTATGCTGGAGTCTCTAAAGCAAGTTCCTATCATGATCTACTTGTTTCCAGGTCTTGGCTAGTAGGCTGGCCCTGTCCGGTGGCAGGTAAACATCGCCTGGCCAGACCTCTATGTGCGGGGCAGGGAGGCAAGGCCAGCCAGTGTCCATGGGGGGATGTTTAGTGACCAGACTGGACAGCAGAACGGCATTACATATTGAGAAAAAAAGACACACATAGAATGATGAGGTTCATGCAAGTACGTTCTTGAGAAAGGGATGTGTATATTAATAACGAATATACTTTTTTTTTTAAAGAAAAACTCTGCTACCCACCCAGCAGATACTGCGTCAGAGCAGAGACCAACTTCAGTGTCCACACAGGGACATCCCTCTAGCCTTCCCCCATTCTCAGAGCCCCACCTTCATCGTGGGTGTCGGAAGAGTCACTGAGCTCGGTGGGGATGCCATCACTGTCTCGGAAGTCCAGGGACGGGGAGTTCACCGGTGCCATGAGCTCCATCTTCTCCTCAGGGACACTGTCCACAGCGAGCTCCTTCTCGAGGGACCCGGTGCCCTCCAGCACCTCCTCCTCCAGGGGCAGGCCATCGAACTGGGGTGGGGACAGCACAGTCACCCAACAGGGAAGGCCGGGACCTGGCCCCAGGAGCCCTCGCAACCTCGGGGAACTGTGCTCGAGTCCTGCTCTGGGAGTCCCACCCCGGAGGTGAGGGCCCTGTGCAAGGCCCTACCCCCCTCATCCAGCCAGCCCTCAGAGAGCACAGCGAGCCTGGGTGGGGGCTGTGGGGGGGCAGACTCAGCTCCCACAGCTGCAGGCCCGGTCCCGGAGCCGTACCTCCACTGTGATATGTCAGCCTGCATCTCACTACCATCTTCTTTTCTAAGGGGCTCAAAAGGTTTCATGTTCATTTTCCCATTAGCCCTGGAAGGGAATAGATACAATTCCTGACATTTTAAAGATGATCCCAGAGGCAGAAAATGGAGACTTGGCGTGAAATGAACGACGATCACATTGTAAGGCCAGGTAGGCAGACCTGGGAGCCACTGTAACACACGCCTGCCTTTCCTGGGAACCCACATGTTCTGCCACCTGCCAGCTCACCCCGGCCACTCTGCCTCCGTCCAGCCTCGGTTCCCTCTGTAACCAAGCCCCAGAGGACAGAGAGCCTTGTCACACGCTTTTCTCTCTTTCATAAAGTCTAGCACAGCAGGAAACAAATCAGAGTGCACATACTAGGGACTCGAAACCATCCTGATTGACTAACTGAATAAACAGGCAGCCTTCCCATAGTCTTATATTCATGTACAACTCTGCCATCAGAGCAGCACAGTGAGAGCGGGGCCCGGAAAAGCTCTCCCAGGGGCTCATCTGGAGCAATGCACTTGGACGGTTTTCACTGCTCACAGCTGAAGTCGTTACCTGAGACACGGAGAGCCCAGCCCGGGATCCGGGACCGCACCTTCAGAACGGAGTGGGCCCATGGCCTGCATGACACCTCCCTCCACTCACTCCCCAGGTTACTGCCCCGCAGGACCAACCCAGCCGGGTGACGCCAGCCACTGGGTCAGGGGTGCGAGCAAAGGGCTCGAGGCCCATACCGAGACGGGGGCCTCACTGCTCCCCGTGGATGTCAGCGTGCTGTTGGTGATGGACTTCTTGGGCAGCTGCGGACTGGCATCCGGCTTGGTCTCTATGCTGCTTTTGGATGAGCTGTCATTCACTTCATTCTCTTCCACAGGGATCTCCTCACAGTAGCTAGAAATAGACACCATGAGCCCATGTCAGCCTCAGTGCACACAACTGTCCTGAGGACCTCAGACCCATCTACGCATCCAAAACTGTGGCTTTCCTGCACCTCAGCTTTGCACCCGATCTTACGCAACTACCCGCCCCTCCCTACCATTGCTCTTTTAAAACCTCCTTCCTACCTTACACCCCAGCCCCCACATAAAATGTCTGGCTCCAAACTTACCTTTTCTAGACACCCTCCTTAGACTTGTCCTTACTAAAATAGGACCATTGTTTGTCATAAACTATTTTCTCCCACTGGTGTCCCGTCCCGTCCTGTCCCATCCCAACCTGACCACTTGAGTGAAACACCTGGGCTCTGAGCCCACATTTTCTTTCCCACAGTGTCCCACACTAGGACAGAACTCCAGACATGAGTTCCCTTCGGGGGCCTGTCCAGATTCTGCATCATTCTAGCCAACTTCTCATCATTGTACACCCAAGGGGAATGCTCCTTGAGCTAGAGGCAGGTGCCCTTCTAGGGACACTTCAGGGATGTTACCACACCCTCTAATAAGGGAGAAGTCATAGTCGTCATCATCAACATCTGACTTATACTTTACATGTTACCACATCTGGAGGCATCTGAGTAAGTTGTTACATGTGTCTGAGACATCATCAAATGACACCCACAGAAGTTAAGTGGTACCGCCATTCAGTGCCAGAAGTTGTCCCTGAGCCCAGGTCTGCGTACTACACATTCAATGCTCCTTCCTCGAGTTCTGTTCCTCTGTGCCTCTCACACTACCACCAAACCTCCCCTACCTTCCAGCCTCACGCGTGCTGGTGTGACTTTGCAGTCCCCCGCCCCTTTTCGATTGCCAACAGCACGTGGTAACAGTGATACACCTTCTCCTTAGAATACCCTTCTCCTGGCTTCTAGGGCATAAAACTCCCCATGCTCCCCCTGCCTCATTGAACATTCTTTCATGATTTCTCTTGCTGCTTCTTCCTCTTGTTGAGTATTCTCAGGACCAGTTCTTGGTGGTTGCAGCCAGTCTCCTGATGGCTGTCCACTGAAACCCCAAGTGTTCGTCCGCAGCCCAGACTCCCCGGTGAGCTCCACCCTCACACACAGATGCCCACACGACATCTCCCCCTGAAGAACAGTCATCTCAAACTCAAGCAGCCAAAACCAACCTCCTGTCCCTCCCCGCAAATTTGCAGTCATATATTATCATGTGTCTCAGTTTGGAACAACTCTATCCTTCCAGGTGGTAAATCCAAGAAAACCTTAAATCCACCTTTGGTTCCTTTTTGATCCATCAGAAAATCCTTCAACATCCTTCTCTGGTTCTACCTTCCAAATATACTCAGAAACTATACATTCATTGTCATTTTTTCTTCTTCGTTTGAAATCTTTAACAATTTTTTTTTTTTATTTTAGAGAGAGGGGAAGGGTGGGAGAGAGAGAGGGAGAGAAACATCGATGTGAGAGTAAAACGTTGATCAGTTGCTTCTTGCTCACCTACCACTGGGGACCTGGCCCGCAACCCAGGCATATGGCCTGACCAGGAATTGAACCGGCAAGCTTTCGGCTCATAGGCCAGCATTCAATCCACTGAGCCTCATCAGCCAGGGCTCATTGGCCTTTCTGCTGTTACCCTCCTGATCCAAACCACTATCATCTCTCATCTAAATGATCTAAATTATTCAGTAGCCTCGTAGCCAGTCTGCCCGTGCTCCCCTTCAGTCCATTGGCAACCCGGGAGCCAGAACGATCCTGTTAAAATGTTAACTCAGATATTATCAACTATGTAGTCAAAGCCTTCCCATTGCTTCTCAGCTCACTCTAAGTAAAAGCCAGTCATCTCATTGGCCTAGAGGCCCTTAGGGTCTGCCTCCTGACCTCCCTACTTCCCACCTGCCCCTTTTCCCAGCGGCTGGGCTCACCGTCCCCTCTGCCCGGAGGTGTCCTTGTGGCTTCCTCCCTCCCCTGCTTAGGCCTTCATTCAGTGTCACTTCCCAGCAGCCTTCACTGCCAACCCAGCCCCCCGAGAAAGGCCCCTGGGCAGCCTGGTCCACCCCTCTCACCCCATGGTGTTGAAGTCGTCATCGGGGGGCACATAGTCCTCGTCGTCACTGGTCAGGCCCAGCTCGTTCCCGTAGCACTGATGGACGAAGTGCCAGAGCTCCTTGGGGCACAGGGGCTGCAGGCGACAACAGAGATGCTGACCCTGCCTTCCTCGGGACCCCACTCTATGCATGGGGGTAAGAACAGCCACGCTGCACTTGCCCTGCTGAACTGAGTGCGACCAAGGCCTCTGTGACGGCTTTGCCCTCCTCCCAGGGTCTCCACAAGACACCCTCTGCCCGAGAGCATGTCTTTCAGCAAAGCCAGAAACCTGGCGTGTGCACACAGCTCAGGTGTCCATGTGGGACCACCCAGCCCCCAGGGACAATAACTGTCTGCTTTTCACTGGCGTGGATGCAGTCCAGCATGAAGTGGCGTGAAGAAGTGACACTGTGGAGCAGGCGACCACAGAGCTTCTGACCAGGACTTGGAACGAGCACCAGAGAGCCCCTGAGCCAGCCTAGTGGACACTGCAGAAATCTCTCCACACTAACCGAGGCCAGGCAAGCCCTGCTGCATGTGTCGCATCCCAGAACGAGGCATGACCCCACAGGTGGCCCGTTCCGCAGCTGGCAGTCCCTGTGCTCAGAGAGAGGCCTGCATTCTCATGGTTTAGGGGGCCTCAAAGGTCACTGCCCGGAGCCTCTCTCGACTACCTAAATGCTTCCTTCTTATCCTTGATCCAGTTTGCTGACAGCTCCATGTCTCAGTTCCAGTTTTTCTTATTTCACTGGGTGTCTACATTTCCTGCTCAAAAGCACCGTCCTAACAAAAGTTAGCTCTCATGAAGTTCAAAGTGTTGGGAAAGAGGCAACAGAATGTCAAAGAACTAAGACCAGAGGTGGAGACCATGAGTGTGTCACAGCTTGGGAGGAGTAGAAGGTGGCAAGGATAAGTATGTGAAAAGGAAGGGCAAGAACGTTAGGAAACACAAGAGCAGTCAATATTGTTACAAAATTATTCAAACTAGCCAATCTACCCTCCCCTCCCCTGCCTCCCTCCCCTGCCTCATACCTTCCCCTCCCCTGGAAAAACCACACTGCAGGCTCTTGCCCAAGCTTTCCCCAGGCTCTCTGTGCTTCCCCACGGGGCCCTGCGTGGGCTATCTGCACGTTCAAAAACGTACAGAGTCATTTCTCCATCTGCACGTCTCATCACACCCCATTAAAACAAGTCCTGGCACATTTGAAAAGGTGAGTTGAGCACCTAGAGCTGATTGGGACCCAGCTCCAGGCTGTAGAAAGGTTGTTCCCATGGAGACAGGCTCCTCCCAGGACTCCGGTGAACTGGCTGGTGAGAGGGTGAGAAAACTTCCAGGGCCCCTGGGACCAGCCCACGCCCCAGGAAAGCGCAGCCCTCCCCCAACCCAGGGCCCAGGTCCAGGGGAAAGAACACCCAGGCTGGACACGCCTCATCCTCAGGCTGAAGAAGTAGCAGGGCAGCACTTACCTTCTCAAGGAGCGCGTTCTGCCACAGCCGGAACATCATCATGTACGTCCTGTCCCGCGCCCCAAATGAAGTGAAGAAGTGCTACATCGGAAGGGAAAGTCCAACAGGTGTAAGTTAAGACTTACAACATAATGAACGAAGTCACAGTGCTCCTGCTACTGATGTCACCAGCACATATGGACGACAGTCACCTGTGACTGTGGCACAGGTGTGCCAGCAGTGAGGACCACGGATGTGCCACAGCCTCCAGTCCCCACTGGGCTTACGTCCTTCCATAGTCACCTGCTTTCCTCTCCATGTTTGAGGTTTTCATGGCCACAAAATACTTCCTTCACTACCTGCTGGGGCTGGGCATGTGGGCCAGCCCGAGCGGGGAGAAGACCACCCTCACCCACTCACTCCTTTATTCAACGACACAACAAGTACTCTAACACTGGCACGTGCTGGGCACTATTCTGCACGTTTGGGCTGCAACACAAACCAAATGGAAGCAGATCCCGTCTCTCACCCCAGTCCAATGCCTCCCCGCTCCATTAATGTAAGCTAAGTAAGGGCAGAAATAACAGGTCGGGGTACGGGGGTTTAGGGGACGGGGAGCAAGGTCCAAGATGAGACTCCGCTTACCTTTTCTGAATCGGTGCAAACTTGGATGGCATTGGGAATGAGGCGAGCTGTTTTTTCTTTCGTCATGGAGCAGATGTCCTTTAAGCGGACAGTCAGCTAGCATTGCCACCGGGACAGAGAGGGGATCAGAAGCAACGACAGGCGTTAGCACAGTCAGGTGAAGGGCGTTCGTGTGGAACAGTCCAGACAGAGGAACCCAGTGTGTCTAGGTGTCTCGAAACCTCCTGAGAGACCCCCTGGTTCACCCCTGATCTCAGAGGGCACAGGGAGGTGGGGCCCAAGCCTTGCCTGGAGCCCACGGGCACCTCGATTTGTGGTCCAGGAGCCCCCTGCTCACTTCTGCACCATCTAATAAAGGTGCAGAGGTCCTGTTACAGTGTCACAGCAACACGGGGCAGTAGCCCTGGATGGGACCATAAAAGTCACCTAGTTTATCTTTTCCCACTGTATTTTATCAGATGAGGAAACAGGCAAAGAATGCAGGACGAACCTCAAATCATCCAGCTAATTAATTATTAGTGGCAGGATCCAGAAAGCATACAAGCCAGTTTCTCTGAGTGCCGAGGCCAATGCCCTGTTCCTCCACTGTCCTGCCTTCTGCGGTGACTCCTGCCAAGTCTTTGTTTTCAGCAAGTGCTCTCCACACTCTTTTCTACACCCAGGCAGGTAGGAGGGGAGGACATGGTAGGGGGGATCTAGCCACCTAGACTCAGGCACGTGCTTTTGCTAATTACGCAAAGGCTAGGTGGAGCGTGAAGTCAACCATGGGCAGAGAGCAGGAGGCCACAGCCCAGGGGACGGCCCACGGAGGCGGCCCCCGGTCTTTACCAGGGTTTCCCAGCGGAAGATGTTGCTGTAGAAGCAGATCCAATTTTCAGAGAGGTAGAGTCGGCCCTGAAGAAGAATGTCTCTTTGGAGTGCACATGAGTAATCTGTGGGATGGGGAGGGGGACAGAGCTCAGAGGCAGGAAGTACTCGCCGCACACCTCCACAAATCAGGCCTGCCATCCCGCCCACCAGCACCAGGGAACCCAGCCACCACCACCCGGGTGTGTGTGAGCTCATGGCCCAGGGAGTCCCTAGCATCCCACCATCAGGAAAGTGAAGGGTGTGAAATACACAGCTGCCTAGAGAGCGGAGGAGCCAAAAAAGCCTATAGCACCATAGACCACCCCTCCCCAGCCTGAAGCTGCCCCAGCCCGTCACTGCTGAGCCATCTGCAGAGAAAGGAGGGAGTGACACCTGCTATGTGGGGCTCTCTCGAAGCCACCACGCACATGGTGTTTGGCCCCGAGCCCCAGCCACTGGGTCAGTGCTGTGGATAGCCTCTCTCCCTGTTCCCAGACGGACTTCCTTACTTGAGGAACCTCTAGGGAGAGGAGGTCTGAGTGATAGCCCAGAACTCCCAGACTTCCTCCCGGGCCCCAACTCCCACACCACCAGGCTCACCAACGATGAGGCGCTCCGTGTCTGGAAGCTGTTTAAAGAGCTTTCTGAAGTCTTCGTTTCTCTGTTTGTAAGTGGGGCTTAACACCTGTGTGACAGTGGACAAAGTTAGTGGGGCGTCCTTGTTCTGGGTGGTGGGGAGGAAGGGGCAGGGGGGGTGCCTGCCTATGTGTTCAGAAGGCAGAGATGGGGCTCATTATCCCACAGACCATCAGAGGCCAGGGGAGGCAAAGGCAGCTTGGCACGGGGAGGCCACTGTGGAGAGAGTGTGATACTGTCGCAGGCTTTGTACCCAATGCCCATCAATGAGAAAAAGTCAAACATACCACTTAGTGGGCCCATATGAAAGCCCAAGAAGACAGAGGAACGGGGTCACCTCCAGGGAGCCCCCTGGCACCCCCCCATGTCAGCTATAGCTGTTCTGCCTTCCACTGGCAGGAGCACTCCCTTGACAGTGAAGCAGGGGCCCAAAGGGGCTGCCTACCCCTCACCCCAGCAGGACTCAGAACATCACAGTGCTCAACACAGTCCCCAGAAGAAGGTATCATGATAACACTTGCTGCGTGTGAAGTTCATGACTGGGAAAAACATAATAAAACATAAGACTAGTACAATGTTATACACATCAGTCATATCATGGGGAGGAGTCCTACTTTTCCAAAGACTGTACTAACCAAAGTCACAAAACTGGTATAAGGATAAGCACCCAGTAGAGAATTTAAAACTACATCTGGCAGCGAGAGGCACCCAAACTCATTCCCTCACCATCCTTTGTAAGATTATCTAATTCAACCCTTATCACTGAGGAAACTAAGGCCAGAGAGAAGTCTCCCCTTGCCCAGGGTCCCCCAGCTGGTCAATGGCAGATCTCTCGATCGCTGGTCCCGTGCTCACCTCCTACCACTGCCTGTGCTTCCAGATGCCCTGTGTCAGCTTTGCTTTTGGAGTGTCTCAGTTACAGACTAACGTAAATTATCCTGGCAAATCCTCCTCAGAAATACTGGGTGGGCCAAAAAGTCCATTTAGTTTTCTCCTCAAAATAAAAAACACATTTTTTCATTTTTACCAGTAGCTTTATTGATTTGGGTATTTTGAGTATGTCGGCTATCTCCCACATGGTATAATGATTGTTCTCAATGTATCGATTTGATTGCTATGAACTTCAACTGGTCTACCTGACCACAGAGCATCGTCCAGTGAGAAATCTCCAGCATGAAACTTCACAAACCACTTTTGACACATTCAATCAGTCACAGCACCTTCTCCATACACTGCACAAGTCTTTTTTTAGGTATTGCAGTTGTGTTTTTACCTTTCTTGAAATAATAAAGCACAATACACTAAAATTTTGTGTATTTTCTTCCATCTTCAGTAGTAACATGGCTGCACAGAAATTCACCAATTTTGATAAATTTTAAATGCATACTGATATGGCAGCTGTCACAATACAATCTAACAAAATTTTTTCAAATGAAGTTCAAGGCAAGTTAAGTGCTACCAGAGAGCCATTATACAGCAAAAAAAAAAAAAAAAACTAAACAAAATTTTGGCCAACCCAATACCATGAGCCAGTTGGACACACAAAAATCTTGCTCCTTCAAAGCTCACAAACTTAAAAACAAACAAACAAACAAAAAAACCCAATGCTCTGCAGATGAAAGGCACCAATGACCATAACGGTGCAGGAAGAGCCATGCACCGCAGCTGAGAGGCGCCTGCGCTCCACCCGGCAGACGGCTGACCTGCTTCTCCCAGGAGCACATGCGAGCAGATAGCTGTCCCAGGGCCTGGGGGGTGGGCAGACGAGTCGTGGCCATTTACACCTTCTCACCCACTGTCCCGGGGACCCCCAGCCTACAGGTCTGCGGCCAGGGCATGGGTTTCAAACGTCAGGTTTTGTTTTCTGCAAAGTGGATGGCCCACAGGGAAGTGGGGGCTGCGGCCCTGCCGCACTCACAGTGCGCACTGACAGCGGAGCTGAGCAGCCCACGGCTCCTGTGCCCGCACAGGAGCATCCCAGGAGCTTGGACAAGGGAAAGAAAGTGACGTGACTCCCATGTGGAGACGCTTTCCAGAAGTGAGAGAGGGAAGAGAATGCTGTTAAATGCTTTCCCTTGAATTAATTTGAATTTTAAACTTTTGTTTTGGCTTGCTTATAAAAGGAGTTTTACTTGCCACCATGGACGCCTGGCTACTACCCCAAAGGTAGTAGTAGCCAGTTAGGATTCTTCTGTGTTGCAGAATCCTAAACTTTGAATATCACCTGCCATGTGTTTGAACCAAGTATTAGGGGGTGACTGTATGGAAGCCAGCCAACCCTACGATTTCTGTGGCCAGAAAAGACCCCAGAATACATGTGTCTGGCCCCTATTTTACTTCCACAGTGACCCTGAGACAGCCGCTCTCCACGGATGTCTGGCCTCACAGGACGGAGACCACACTGAAGAGCCCAAGTGGACGCTCACTCCATTCCCGACTATGTCTGCGTGACCTCCGGAGCTGCAACCAGCTGCAGGGGATGAGTCACCGCCATGCACCTGGCACTGCCACGGGCCCTTCGCACTCAGCGCTCCACCTGCCCGCAGGGTGTGGGTTACCCTGTCTGACACATGAGGAAGCTGAGGCACAAAGAAGTGGAGCAACTTGCCCAAAGAACTGTGGTCACTACGTGGGAGTGTAGACTACAACTGCAGGGAGTCCAACCCATCACTCCGCCTGGCCTCAGGGTCACTGTGCCGGGTAAGTGTGAAACGACAGAGACACCCCATCGTCGTGCTCTCTTGGGGAGGAGACATTCACCTGCTCGGGGCTGCCCACAGACTCCCCTGCCCAGAGGCAGGTCTTTTGATGGGGGGAGGGGTGGGAGACAATCTAATCCAAACCCTTACATTACTGACAAGAGAACGAAGTCAGTCTGGACCCCCCTCCCCAGTTGCAGGGCTAAGCGGGGAGTGACAGGGTGCACGGGCCTGTCACCCAGACACAGAGACCTGAGGGCACACACTCACGGCTGGGACGTCCTCAGGTCCACTCCAGCAGCGGAGCTCCACCTCAGCAGGGACCTCCACAGCCTTCCTCAGGCACCACTGCGGAAGCCGGTCGTCCAGTTCCAGCAGGAGGCTCGAGAGCACCCCAGATTCCGCCAGAGATTCCATCGTTCCCCAGAGCTACACCTCTCACTGGAGCCCAGCAGCTGGAGCCCTGCTTCCCTGCTGCCCCCTCAGGATGCAAACAGGTACGCCTGAGCTGAATGCAGGAGGGTGACCTGGCTCCGAGGCAGAGGGTCTATGTGCCCCTGGGGGGTCTCCTAGAGCTCTGCTCTCAGCACAGTTTCACAGGTGGGAGGGTGTGGTCAACACGGTTCTTTGGACAGACTTGCTCACTGGGCTCCCATGGCTGGGTTTTGCTTCACCCCGCTTGTCCCCCACAGTGCGTCGGTCTTCGAGCCAAGTGTGACCCAGAGGGGATGGATTGGAGCCCCTCCTCCTGGTCAGTGGGCACAGCCACTCCGGGATGCCAGCAGAGGCCAGAAGAGTAGTTGACACGGCAGGTACACAGGGCTAGCTGCAGACTCTGAATGGCAAGCCCCAGGTAGACAGGCAAACTGCACAGGAAGAGTGTGACCCCACAGCCAAGTCCAGAGGCCCACCCCACAGGTTACTCACGCATGGCAGAGTGGCTCATAGTTGCTCTGAAACTCCAGGGAGAGAACCAGCGCCCAGCCCTGCAGCTCTGTCTGGCCTGGCCTGTACTCAGTCCATTCAGTGTGCAGTCTCTACTCTGGGCGGACACGGGTCACTGTGACTCACTGCCCTCACCCGGCAGAGCAGCTACCAGTGCCTCTGGCAACAGAGCCTGTGCTCAACCCCACCCCTGCACACACCCCTTTCCTCCAGGACCTTATTCCTCTCTGCTGGCCAGCAAACAACTTCTTTGTTAGACTCGCTGTGGAGGGGGGCGGGGGTGGAGGCAGGATGGGTGGGTGGGCAGGGCCAGAGCCCTACACATGCTTCACGTTACAGAATCTGGTGAGGGTGCTGGCCAATGTCCTGCAGTAACCCTGGCCTGGCCTGGCCTGGCCTCCAGCAGATGTTTCCTGCAATGGAAAGTAGCTGGTCTCTGTGCCAAGTGGGGGAGGGGGATGTGAAGGTACGGGGTGCTGCTGTTGTGATGAAATCTGAAGTTTGAGATGCAAACAGCCAGTGACTCTTTAGGGACACACTCTCCCCTTGCCGATCCGACCATTCACTAAATTCCCTGCAGCTGCAGCTGCAGCAGCAGCAGCAGATTTGGAACTTTAACTCCTCTCATTGCAGATGTGCTGCCAGATGGTGCTGCAGGGAGAAGGTGAGGTCCACCACCCCTGAGGCATCTCCTTTCTTTCCAGAGGCCCTGCCCTGCCTCCAGCACTAGCAGTGGGGGGGGATCAAGGTCAGGAGGATTCCTAGGCAGCTCACAACCTGAGGGCCAAGTGGCAATACTAAGAACAGAGAATTTGGCTCCAGGTCAAAAGGAGAGAGCCCAACGCACAGAAGTGTGCGGAGATCTCCAGGAGAAATGGGAGCCTGCCAGTGAGGGAAACAGGAGCTCCAGACAGAGAAGCGGGAGCAGGAGTCCATAGCACAGGCTGGGGAGACGTTCGCTCCCTGGAAAGGCCAGACCTTTGAAAGTAACAGGCCCCTCCCACACCCTAACCTAGCGCTGCCCCCTGTGCCAGGAGGGTCTCACACCTGCCTGGGATGACTGACGGCTGCAGCCTTTGTCCCAGGAGCCTCAGCAATTTGATGCACAGCACTCAGACCTTCCTGTGCTTAAAGATGACCCATGAATGCACTGAAAGTGAGGAATCTTGACTCCCAAACCCAAAGATTGGGACTCAGAGGAACCTAAGGTCTCTCCGGGGAACAGTGCTGGAGGAAGCAGAGGAAAAGTCTGAACACTTCTGCAGACTCCTCTACTCCTCTCAGCGTATACCCCTGGGCCCGGCTGGGGTCTCCCTCCATCCCACCACCACCTTCTCCAGGGAGGGTGGATGCCCAAACAGCTTTAAAGCACCTACAGCACTCAGCGTGGTTGTTTCAGCTGCTG